CACAGAGAGCATAACTTTTTTCGGATGAAGGTCGGGTTTGGGGACATCCTGTGGGCTCTCTCCTTCTCCAACCCACTGGGATTTCCTGTGGTGATTATCGTAGAAGACCCACTTCTCATCTCCGGTTATTAGCCGGTCCAGCCATCGATCGCCCGCGTGGAGAGTGAGAAGAGTAATCGAATCGTCGACTCGGCGGTCAAGGTTGGCTTGAGTCAGGTGATGAGGTATGAATCGACCAAAAAGTTTTCTCATTCCAAGAGACTTCAAACCTTCAAGGACTGTGCTATGGTGAACTCCGAATGTGACAGCTAGTTCACGGCTAGATTGAAATGGATCCGATTGCAATGCGTGCTTCAGCTTGTCCAAATCCAACTCACGGGGTCTCCCAGAGCGATCCTTTTCATCGAGCGAGGAGTCATCTTTTTCGAAACGATGGAACCAATTGCGAATAGTATTGTAGTGAGGGGCATGTGTGTTGTACACATTCTTCAAGAAAGTTTCCGAATCCTTCATCGTGGTGTGAGATAGGAAGAGGTAAATCAAAACATGTCTGATGTGAATAGCAGTGGGAACAAACATATCGTTTCAATTACAGATGAGGAGCAGGGAAGGAGATGGGACTTGTTTATATGGAAGGTTCTTATCACCTTGTTATTCACTAGAGTCGATATCATACACAGCCTCCATATACGAGAACAGTGATTAAACAAACAGAGTGACAAAGACTTTCCCGCCAACCTAATAAATTATACAAAATATTCTGAAATTGTTATTCGAAACAGTGAAGAGGATTTTTCTGATTTGCAGAATCCGTTACTTCAAAAAAATATTATCAGATAATCTCCTTTAAGTTTTACTTCCACGTTTCAAAGCAGTTCTTATCCTGATTCCCATATTCTCTTTTGCAGAAAACAGAACTACTGTAACTTTTGAGATATCAATGAATCATGAGAAGTAAAGGCCAATAACTTTCTAAAATCATTCAATCTGTATTCGCTTTGATATCAAACTAACTCCATTTGCAGAATTCCGACGACTAATTCGTTTGCAGAATTAAAACACGAAATCCCATCATCGTCTTCCATCATTCTCCAGACGATTTCGACAATGAGGTATCCTTGTAATGTAAACAGGTAGCCATAATCATAAAACGGTCCTGTTTCTTCTTCCTTCTCCTATACGTCTTTTCCAGATTCTTATACTGTCTACCCTCCGGGAAAAGATCAACTCTTCTTATCACACCGTTCATTTCAAATGTTGCGTATTATTTTCTGATTGAAGTGATGAAGATCTGCGGAAGGCGATAGGTCTATTCCCAAAAAACTTAACACTCGCAACGTCCAACACGCGGACACTGGCAAAAAATATAATGAAGCTTCGTTTCTTCTTCCTTTTCGGCAACCTAAAGATATCATCTGCGAGACACTTCGCTTCCCCTGGCATCGCTTGTCGTAGTTTTTTCAGACTGTGTAATCTATGCGCATTACGTCGTCGCTTCTCGTCTTTACCTGGGCCCAGCAGAAGCAGTGTCAACCTATTTTATGACTTTTCGACACTAAAAAAGAAAGAGAGAGGCAACTGTTTTGACAGTTCTTTTGATGATGAAAAATTGAATAGAATAACGAAGACGAGAAGCCGGCTAAAGGTCATACGCCTCCTTATAACACCACATGGGGTTAAATAATGCAATACAGGGTAACTGGAAAGGGCAAAATTGAGGATAATTCTTTAACTGGGGATTCCCTACTCGTTTTTTAAATCAGATCTTACTGTAGGCGCAAATCATTTCAAGGAAGGTTCTTTACTATGCGTTAAAAGATGTAGTTTACAACTTGTTCCAGAGTCAAGGTCATGTTTGGAAGCTTTTTGTTCAATATCTGCTTAAATTGTGAAAGTATTAAGATAAGAAAGCAAGAAAACAGAATTCGAACGTTTATATTATTCTGGTACTAGAAAAGCGGAGCTTTGGAGAAACGCCGGTGGCCGCGGCCAAAGGTCCCACAATTACAGTAGTCTAAAAATGTCTTTATTATTAAAGTTTTTTTCACGAGTTCCGTACGTTTTTTGACAACTTTTTCGATAACAAAAAATTATATTTCGTTTGAGGAACATTCAAAATGTATTCAGGTTACGGTAGTTCTCGTTGTGGGACATTCGGCCACAGCCACCAGTGCTTCTCGCCCACAGCTTCAGTTTTTTGTAACAATATGTAGCCAGTGCATTGAAAATCTGAGAACCCGCCCGTTGAATATAGTTTGCTTGATTACAGCACCTCTTATTTCATTCCCTGATATCCAGATCAGTGTAACCCACTTCAATACCTAACGTCCATGTTGTCTGGTTCCCTCGTTGATAGAGATGATACATAAAACATGGCTAAAAAGTTTTTGATGTTAGAATGTGTGTTTCGGTTCTAAGTGAAGGTTACAAGAGACTGTTATCATTGTCAATGATAACTAACAGAAAACCTGAAAAAATGTGTTTGAGATGTTGAATCGGCGCCCTTGAATATTCAAAAAAAACTTGGTAAGGTTTATATAAAACTTGGGTGAACTTCCGACACTTTTTCTGATGTTTGATATAAGACAAGGGATTTTCTCTGGCAATTGGATACCGTACCCCATTGATAACCCAAACAATCGTAAATAATCACAAGCGATAAATCTCATAATCATTCGATAAAGCCAATTATGAAACACCTTTCTGTGATAAGATTACGTCAATGTTTATCCTACAAATTGCCTAATCCTTCCTCCTCTGAACACCTGGTTTCGAACGATTGCCTCTTCTACGGAAACAAGCGTCATATCAGATATTCGATCGCATTTCAGTTTTCTTCTTTTTCTCATTTTCCTCATTTTATGTTTCAGAGAGATAAACAAAAAAGAAACACATGGAATCTTTGATGATTTGTTATTGACCATTCAAGGGGCACGACGACCTTCGAGGCTCCATTTGAGAGTAAAATTCCGATGAAGATTGTAATCTGGGGAGATGGAAATGAAAAACGATTTTCCTTTCGTCTGCCATCGGAGCCATCCCTTGTGATCGAAAAAAGATTCAAATCGTAGATACCATTTACTACGATTCTCTCACTTTCGGTTCACCTCTCAAGGACAAAATATCAATTTTATTTCGCCTCGTTTTCTCAGATACCGATTTCTTCAGATAACGATTTCATGCTTCGATTGTAAACAAATTCAGTGTGAAAAAAACGAGACAAGGGAGAAAGTTGGAAATAGCGGAAATAGGGATGACAAGGTGATAACAGACTGAATATTTTGATTTGGTGGTCTAGGAAGACACAGGGAAATTACATTGCTAATACTTTCAAATGATTTAAAACAGCGTGGTTGGGATAAATACTTGTGTGTTTCAGCAATCCATGGAGAACATTTTGGCTGGAAATTTGAAACTTTCTCTGTAAAATTGCAAAAACAATTTTAAAAAACGTTCTTCAATTGTAAAAAAAAGGTAGAAAACGAACCTACGAATTCTTCAGAATCTCCAAATTGCGGAATCTCAAAATATCTTCGGAACCACAGGTTTTCCAAATTTTAGAATCACAGAATTTCTCTGAGTTTTGGAATTTTAGAATCACAGGTTCTCAGAATCTCAGAATCTCGGAATTTCGAAATCAGTATTTCATAATCTCCAAACTTTCAAATTTCAGAATCTGGGAATTTCAAATTCCCCCGAATTTCAAAACTCTACTATTTCGAGTTATGGAATCTCAGGATCTAAAATTTTCAGAATCCTAGAATTTCAGAATCTTAGAATTTCAGATCTTCAGAATTTTCGAATCTCAGAGTCTCAGAATCTCAGAATCTTTGATTCCCGAAAATTCAGAATCTCAGAATTTCAGATTCTCCCAAGAGTTCCACTGACACAGTTCCACATAAGTCGCTTCAAAATGGAAACTGTGGGCAAAACAACATATCAGATGATAGAACTCGGCGAGCTGTTAAGAATCTACCAGCATTAAAATCAGTATTAGGGCCGGGCAAAATTTTTTGGCTCAGACCACACTTACAAAGCCGGTCGATTCTTATTGGAGGTTCTGGTATGCTTCTGCTGACAATTTTTAAAAGAGTTATTTATCAGATGTTCCCTTGACGGCCCGGAACCGGATCGTCAACAACTATGGTGGCTGGAAATCGGATTGTTCCGTTTCTGTGGGGTATTTCTGATTGTCTGACACCTAATACAACATTCAATTAGATAATTTTTAATACCAGGAAGGTCTTCATAATGCCAACTCTTCTACACACCGATTCTTTACTTGTTCTAAAGTCTGCCATTTTCGGTTCTGTTGACAGGCAAGCCCAGCTACCATGTTTTTTTCATGATTCCCGAATTCATTGGTATACAATCGAAGACAGTTATAATTCAGACAAGATTTTTGGTAACCTGTTATTTCTATTATTATTTTGTTTTCCTCAGTTGCCAGACGACAAGCATTTGTTTTATCGGTAACCTAGATCAAGCCGACTGATTGGAACATAAAACAAGTCATTGACAATGCTTTTGAATTGGAGCATGACTAATACAAATGTGTTTTTGGTTGATGGTTAGGACATGAATTTAAAAAAGACTGAAAATAATGCAGAATAATTCGGAAGATCTCCTTCTAGAAGAGTACATTTACTGTCAAATAACTTATCTCATTTCATATAAATTTTCATAACTGTTATTTTTCAATTTATTTTTTAGTGATGCACAAAGTGATATTCGAAGAGTTATTTATGATTTTTGTCAAAGTACCTTATATTTGACACTCGACTTCAATATTTGTTCTTGAACATCGCGCCAGTTTCGTTGACGCAAGCGCGCCCTAACGCACTTTTCGAAAATAATTTTTCGAATGCAGCGATCGCTTTTTCGAAAGCCAATTGGTTTTTTATTTTCATGGAATGTCTGTTTTCTGTGGAAACATAGTAATTTTCTTATTTAAATATTCGTTAAAAGGTTTTGAACAGTATCGATTTGTGTTTCAGAAAATGAGCCGTTCGCCGTCGCCAGATTCTCCACCAGCGGTAAGAGACGACGAAGAAAAGGATGCAAGAGAGCAGGTAGTTTAAATATTGTATTTATTCTTGTAAATTGAGAAGTTGGTTTTGCAGTCAGATTCTCCAACATCAAACACTGATGATCCCAAGAGTCCTTCAGAATCACCTAAATCAAACCGATCTCAGGAATCGTCTCGTAAAGATAGTCGAGAGGTAATACAGATTTTCTATTGACCATGTTTTAAAACATTTTTTCAGTCGGGGAAGCGTCGCGACAGTCACGAGGACGAAAAGATGCCACTAACACCGCCCAATAGAAGTTCGGAAGCTTCTCCACAACACAGACGTCACCGAGAGTCCCGCTCCCCTTCGCGTTCACGATCCCGGTCCCACCGTTCCCATTCGCGGTCCCAGTATCGCCGTTCCCGCTCGCGGTCTAGGGATCGCCGTTCTCGCTCGAGATCTAGGGATCGCCGTTCTCACTCGCGATCTCGGGACCGCCGCTCTCCTGCTCGAAGAAGATCTCCAGTTCGCGCTAAATCTCCAGCACAAGCTGTAAAACCAACTGAAGAACCAGAGAAAAAGAAAAATGATCCGAAGGATCTTCTTCGAACACGGACTGGAGGAGCATACATCCCACCGGCCAAATTGCGTCTGATGCAACAACAAATCACCGACAAGTCGAGTGAGCAATACCAGCGCATGAACTGGGAAAGAATGAAGAAGAAGATTCACGGATTGGTAAACAGAGTCAACGCCAAAAATCTTGTACAAATTGTAAGAGAGTTGCTCCAAGAGAATGTGATCCGTTCAAAAGGACTTTTGTGCCGTGACATCATTCAAGCTCAAGCTTTCTCCCCAGGATTCTCCAACGTCTACGCTGCCCTTGCTGCAGTGATCAATTCTAAGTTCCCTCACATCGGAGAACTCTTACTTCGTCGTCTTATCGTTCAATTCAAAAGAAGTTTCCGCAGAAATGACAGAGGTGTCACTGTGAATGTGATCAAGTTTATTGCTCATCTGATTAATCAGCAAGTGGCTCACGAAGTTCTTGCGTTGGAAATCATGATTCTCATGCTCGAGGAACCAACAGACGATTCTGTGGAAGTGGCTATTGCTTTTCTGAAAGAATGTGGAGCCAAGCTCATGGAGGTATCATTGTTTCTTTTTATTCCGCTGTCATAAAAATATCTGTTTCAGATTGCTCCAGCTGCTCTCAACAGTGTCTACGACCGTCTTCGTGCGATTTTGATGGAAACCGAAAGATCGGAAAATGCATTAGATCGACGTATCCAGTATATGATCGAAACTGCGATGCAGATTCGAAAGGACAAATTCGCGGTGAGTAAGAGACAAATAAATAATTTATTATAATAAGCGATTCCTAAAATAGAGAACCTAGACAAACTTTTTCTTTATAGTTCTGTTAGACAAAAATTTAGAGAACTTCTGGTATTCTCTTTCGGATAGTTGAAACTCCACAAGTCCTTCTTGTTTACCAGCTGCATCGTGTTGTCCTCTTGCTTGTCTGTTCTGTGGAGAAATGATTGACATAAGTTCGGCTGCATTCTCGGTGACTGGTTTGTTTCCAACTGGGTGCACAAAGTGACGAAGTTTTCCGAAATCCGATTCTAATGCAATTAGGGTTACCTGAAAAGTATATCGGTTATTGTAAAAACTGTAAAACGCCTCCGCCGAATCAAAAATATGTCTAGTACTTACATTATGTGGAGCTGGTGTGTCCAATATTTCTTGCAGTTTAGCGAGACGTGCCTTTTTGATGTCACTGGAAACAAAAATATCAGGAGAATCTGCCATCTTTTTTTGATGTTTTCTTCTGATAACCCACTTGTTGGTTTTCTCAATTTTCTGCTTCTCAGTTCGATGACGGTGAAGTAACCAGTTGTAGTAATTTATTTGCTTCAAGTCTTTCCGATACTGGGCATCAGAATCCTGAGAAAAAATTTTGCGGTAAATCGTTTGACACTCTTCGCACTTACCGCCTGATCCGAAAGTGCAACGACGGCGACAAGAACGAGAAGAACGAGAACGTAGTTGACATTCATCATCACAATACTGACTGATGGTCGGCTTGGTATCGCTTTCCGACGATTGTATACTCGTGAAGATGGCAATTGAGGACAGCCTCCGCACGCATCCATAAGCATCATCCTTGTTGAACAATCTTGTTCCTCCTCCTCCTTTTTTCTACACTTTGATGCCCCTCCCCTGTATCCATTTCCCACCAATCTGCTAATTGAATGGCGTCGTCAGCTGGCCGGTACTGTGGCTATCGCGTTAGAAAAAGCTTTTATGTGTTTAGAAATCGCCTCCTCTTTGTGTCGCAACAACGTATTCCATATGAGACAACAATGATGAATAATTGCAGGCGTATCCAGCGGTCGTCGAAGACTTGGATTTGATTGAAGAAGAAGATCAGATCATCCACACACTCAACTTGGAAGATGCTGTTGATCCGGAGAATGGACTCAGTGAGTGACCGCATTAAGATCATGCAATAAACTTTAATTCGATTGTTTCAGATGTGTTCAAACTAGATCCAGAATTCGAAAAGAACGAGAACGTCTACGAGGAGATTCGTAAAGAAATCATCGGAGATGCAGATATTTCTAGTGACGAGGAAGAGGAAGTAGAAGACGATGATGAGGAAAGTGAAGCGGAGGAAGCTCCCAGGAAGACAACAGAAATCATTGATAACACCGATCAAAATCTCACTGCTTTCAGAAGGTATCCAAAACAAAAAATATCAAAATGTACAAAAAAATTTCCAGAGAAGTCTACCTGACATTACAGTCATCGCTCGACTACCAAGAAGCTGCTCACAAATTGCTCAAGATGAAAATTCCAGACAATCTTCAAGTAAATGTCATATTAAAGTTTATTCAAAAAAAAAGTGAATTTCAGAACGAACTGTGCGCTATGCTCGTGGATTGCTGTGCTCAACAACGTACCTACGAACGTTTCTATGGAATGCTCATTGAGAGATTCTGCCGTCTCCGCTTAGAATATCAACAATGTTTCGAGAAGCTCTGTCAAGACACGTACGCCACTGTTCACAGAATTGACATCACCAAACTGAGAAATTTGGCTCGTCTTGTTGCACATCTGCTATCTACTGATGCTATTGAGTGGAAGATTCTGGCAGATGTCAAGATGACCGAAGAAGACACGACCTCTGCTGGGCGAATTTACATCAAGTTTATCTTCATGGAACTCGTTGAAGCAATGGGGATGGTGAAACTGCACACCAGAGTTACAGATCCGTAAGATCATTTGTTTTAATTCGCCTCACTCAAATAATTTTTTTTTCAGAACTCTCGCACATTGCTTCGTGGGTATGTTTCCCCGTACGGATCCGCAAGATGCGAGATTTGCAATCAACTTCTTCACAATGATCGGTCTTGGAGGATTAACGTAAGTTTTTTGATTCTTTTGTTCAAAGTTTTTATTCATTTGTTTCAGATTGGAACTCCGCGAATGGTTGAACAGAGGCCTCAAAAAGAAGAAAGGAATAATCGATGAATTGAAAGCCGCACAGAGTAGCTCTGATTCTTCATCGGATTCGTCGGACTCGTCTGATTCTTCGGATTCATCTGGTTCGTCGGACTCGTCCGATGATTCTAGTAGCAGCTCATCATCCGATTCATCAAAGGAACCTCCTAAAAAGAAGAAAAAGAGTGGAACCGTTTTAAAGAAAAAGGAGACAGATACCAATGACCATAAAGAGGCTCGTGGAGATTCGAGAGCTGAAAGACGTAATGATGAGGAGAAATTGAAGCGACGATCCGATGAGGGTCGTCGCGATAGAAGCGCCGAAAATCGAGAGCCACGACGAGGTCGAGATCGTCGTGATTCTGGAGATGATCGTCATGATCGTGGCCGTAGAGATCGCAGCAAAGAAAAGGAAGATCGTGGAGACAAACGTAGTCAACGCCATGACTCCAGAGAAGAAGACCGTCGGGAACGCAAGGATCGAGATCGCAGAGATCGTAGCGAGGAAAGGGACAATCGTCGTGACAGAAAAGAAAGAAGCCGAAGCCGTGATCGTCGGGATCATCGTGATCGAAGCAGAAGTCGTGAAAGGAATGAAAAGAGAAGGCATGATGATGATCGTCGTCGCGAAGAGAAGGTTGGATCTGATGACAGACGCCGTCGGCATTGATTCCAAGTTCAATTGATTTATTTCACTGAATGTTCTCCATTTTTTAATGTTCATTTAATTTATTGTTCGTTTAACTTCTACTATCTCTCTGTCTGATGTGAACCAGAAGCATTTGGTTTTACATGAATATTCCTGTCTTCTAGTTTCTCTGTTGTTCTCTTAAAATAATTCCACACAAAATTCAAGTTTATTTATCTTCCCACTTTCATTACTGCCGACACTAATGGTGGCAAATGAAATAAGGACACACAATGCAACAACATTCAATTCAAGAATAGTTTACGGATAGGAAGGAGGGAGTGTGAGATAAAAACAAATGAAAAAACGGGGGTTAGAGGAAAGAGTCGGGATGGGAGAGAGAGAGACACACACAAGACATTTAGGGGATAAAAACTAAAAAAATTGGGAGAAGAAGAAAATTATTCAATTTTAGGCGAACGACGAGAATTGGCCTCGCTTGGCGAACGCGAATCCATATGGGGAGGCACGTTTGGCGAAAGCAAATGTTCGGTATGGAGATCTGAAAAAAGTTTTTTAGTGAGAAAATTTGAAGTTGGACAATTCTTATTTTTCGGAAAGTCTTGTAAATGCGCTCGGTCGCTAACATTTAAATACCGTTTCGAACATTCGTTGGTCTCGACGCGAACGCTTTAACTGCTGACATTCGCTACTCAGCTGTGCCAGCATTCCATCGGAAAAAGCGCGAGAAAACAATTGTTTTTTTTAAACCCAGTTCCAGGAATATTTGAGAAGCGCCTTATTAGTTAGTACATATTCTTTTGATAAATATGGATCTAGATAAAAAAGTTGGAGTTCTTGGAAAAATAGGATATTGAGAAAGTCTGGGGTCTTGAAGTTTCTCGGAATAGGACTCAGGTGAGAACCAGAGCAGAGATTCCGGTTTAACTCATTCAAAAGTCTGTGCGAATATTCGATGTGTCTGTTTTTTCTAATTAACAACCAGCAAGCTGGTGCGCCTTCGGCGCGATTAAACCGAGTTTTTCAGCTGGTTGGTCGGTCCGCTCCTTATTTTTTCTCAAAGGGTCACGTAAATCCATATTTTTTTTTAACTTTTTCAAAAGTCGACAGAGTGACACCGGGACCAACAGACGCGTGTAGCGTTTTATATATAAGGAAGATAATGAATGGAAATCTTTTAGGGGTTGCTCGAATTCAAATAATTTCCAACTACTATTACAAAAACTAAATCGCCTGTTCCCATAGTCTTCTTCTAACCAGGAAACGTGACAATTCCCAACCTAACTCTGCTAATTTTTTAACAGATCCCAATCAATTTCACTCTCCCGTCCCTTTCTGCACGTCATCTACTCTATTTGACGTCAACCTCCAGAAGATCGTGTATCTCATTATTTCGCTTACCTCTTTGCGAATCCGTATCTCGCACGCTTCTCAAGGAAGTCGATGTCTTCGTCACTGCGCTTGGCGAATGCGAATGCCCTGTAATGAGAATTCAGATTATATACGAATATATAATTCTAGAACTTTCCCGCTTTTTTCACTGGTCACTTTTTTTAGTTGAAAAGAGAAAAGAGATTTCTGTTTTTAAAGACCATTAAAAGTGTATCTTTATCTCCCTCACAAATATGGGTACTAGTGGTTGGAAAAATGAAGTTTTTATTTTGGTTAAAAGAAAGGGAAGAAGTTGGAAATGTTGGATATGATTGTTTGGAAATTTACGAGCTTGTTTTGAAGAGAAATTCTGACTCGTCATCCAGAGCAATCAGAAATTCAGAAGGCATTTAGAAACCGTCAGAATACAAGTCTGATATGAAAAAAAAACAAGTTGAAAATTGTTGAAAAATGAGGAAGTCGTGCAGAGAATACGGTAGCAGTCTAGGTCGTTTTCAGAGTCAGAGATTAAATTGAATTGTGATGCCTAGATACCGGAATTGCTCTAATGGAATTCCATCCTATTAATTCGTACACTTTGAGCTCAATTATCTCGGTTCCTTCAAAAGATATCAAAAATTAGTCAACTGAGAAATTGTTTGTCATAATATCAGTAAAACTTTATCAGTTGACCATTTTTCGATATCTTTCGAATGAACCAAGATGATTGAGCTCGAGATTTACGGTACTTGGTTATTCACACTTTCTAATTACATTGCATTTGCAGCTATAGGCTACCTTAGTCCCCCCGACGTCTGCCGGAACAAAAAGACATCCCAAATCAAAACTAGATCCTTGTCTGAAAATTTCCAGACTCATCCAATTATCTTCCCACATCCTGTCACATTCTAAAGATTCCAGAAACCTCGAGATGTGACAAGATTCTCTCTTCAATTTCCTGTTATTCCCCCCAACTAACCTGTATGGTGAGCGTTTGTCCACGATTCCTTCCACTTCAGCAGCATTGTTGTCAGCGTGCTGAAATCACAAAAAACAAGCATAACGAAGAAGAAAAAAAACTAAATCCACTTGAGGCTCAATTGAATGATTCCGCACCATGCTGCTAACATTGTGTTCCGTGTTTTTTACATATATCTTTTTATTCAGAAAAACATATCTTCTTCTTCTCCTACTTCTTCTTATGAGTCAGATTCACTTACCAATTGTGCTGAAATGCAGAGAACAAGGAACGAGAAAAGGCAGACAATCGAGTAAACGTTGGCGTTCATCGCGAGGACGAGATGGGTACCCACTGAAATATGAAAAAAATTCAAAGTTGAAAAACGAAGGATATCAGATGGCAACAAAATCCGATGAATGAATGAAGAAGTCTGTGCGCTCTCAGAGCACCTCGGAGAAGGATAAGCTCCGCCCCTTTCGCCCTGAGGCGTTGCTGGAAAAAGTAGGCGGAGCATCGGAGCTTGTTAGGTGACACGCAAACGGAAACCCCTCTTTCCTTCTCAACACTATCATTAGAAGGAGGTACAATTTTTGAAGGGGATGGACCTTTTCAAAAGGAATGACGTGGGAAACGGAAGGTGCAGCAGATGGGGCTCCTCGTGAGGTGACGAGAGAAGTTTAGGTTCGGGATTCTGGAGGATGACGTGGCAAAAACATCGAGAAGAGAAGTTGAAGAGCGGAGAAGACACGTCTGCATAATTGATAGAAGAAGAGAATTTTAAAACAAAAATATGGAAAATTATAAAATATGGAGAACTCATAGTCAGATCAGAGACTTCATCTATGATCTGCATGATGTGAAGAGTATGATCAGCAATTCGCGTGAGTCCGTGGGAAACTTTTAGAATTTCGATTAAGTTCGGTTCCTTGTTCGCACTCATCAAGAAATCTGGATCTTTGAAATTCCAGTAACTAAAGGTTATAAAACAGACAGATAAAAAACGTTGCATTCACAGAATTGTTCCAAAGTTCCTAGTTTTTCAGCTACTTGCCGATTTCTGAAGGACACCTATTTTTTCACGTTGTCTGTAAAAACACGGGCCAAAAAGGGTGTCTTCCAGAAATCAGCAAATAGCTGAATATCTATAGATATAGGTGCTTTCGAAAAATTTTATAAATGCAAAGTTCTCAATCTAGGCCTGTTTTACACTAAGTGATCGAAAACTTAACAGATGAGCTGCAGCTTTTTGAAAACGATTTAACTGGTGGAAAATCGACTGGAAAAATATTTTTGTGTATCCTATTGACTGGTACTTTATCTTCATATAGCTGGCATGGTCAGTCTGATCATAGCTCCAAAATTTCTGAAAGTTTTTCAAAACTGAACAAAACAACAACAACTAGAGTTTGTGTGGTCCAGTGAAAAAATTCTAAACTCTAAGCGCAGAGGTGGAATTTTTATGTTTTCGCTATTACTCTCTATTGTTTTTTAATATTTTTGAGACAAAATTTTCAAAAAAAAAACTGCAACGTCAGAATTGAAGTGGACACTGAAAACCACAACCAAAGCCGTAAATGTACGAATTCGTTAGAAAAAACTTTATTTACCAAGCCGAAAAATCTGGCTCAAGGATTTTCAGCCGATCGAGTATAGGCAAAACTTTTGGAGTGTGTGGGTGTGTGGAGATCATATAGATTCAGAAAGCTCAATTTTCAACTGATGAACTACAAATCAAATCACTAATTCAAAATTCTATCATTTTGATGTTTCAGTATACAATCACGTAAAGAATACAACATCAAGAAGACTCCCACAAATGGTGTTCTAGTGATAATGAAACAAAATTTGTCCCTATTCATAAAAATCAGTAGCTTTGAAAACTGATTCATTGGCCGAACATCAAATTTAATTGTGTGCTGATCCACTTTTCCAAAAAGTACTTATCCTTTTGAAGTCATTTTCTCATACCATAACTCTCATCGCATTTCAATCTCCTTAAAAAAATTTTGGAACTTTTTTCCCTTTGAAATTCCATTTAATATTCATCAAGTCATGAGGGTGTTTCTCAAAAATCTCATACTTGAGTCATGAGAAAAAGTCAAAAATTCAACTTCACAATTTTCAAAAAAGTTCCCAGAATGATATCTGATCTCTTGTATAACTGAGATTCCAGAAAGGTTGGCACAAAAACAGATAAATGGTAATCCCATGTTATAATCTTTTTGTATTTAATCTCATGTGACACCTTTTGACCTACAAAAAACCAAACTTGTAAGCAAAAACAAATCGTATACTCTGCTTTTCCAGTTGCTGATCAATTATTCATCACTAATTGCACTATAATTTACATAATTTAGACTGCACGAGCTTTCCATTCTTCCTCACATAGGCAGAGAATTTCGCAAGAAAAAAAAAAGATGACGAGTAGAGGAGGATTACTGTAATGACATCAAGTGCATCTCATTTTTAGTCACTATCCATGCCCTCCGGGGCTATTGCTCCCTTCTGTTTCCATCTTGTCAATCCTTATTAAGAGGTGTCATAACATCATCCCTCCTGGATGATATATATTTAGAAGAAGGCAGATATGTTGTATTGTAGAAGAAGCAGGGAAACATGCAAAAGATGATCAAGGGGTTCAGCTCAACACTCCACTCGCAACAAATGTTTTGTTGGAGTCGGCGAAAATTTATGATGGCAATTTGAAGCGGATCCATTCGGAAAGGATACCTCCCGGACACGGAAGATGCAAATTCTGTGACACCAAAATGAAGGTGCTGTTGTTTTTTTGAATTATCGGAGAATTTGGAATGAGCATAAAAAAAGAGAAAAGGATTTGGTTTTGATGGTTTCGAGGAAGGGGAAAGAGACACTCGGATTCTGAAATCTGATTTTTTAAATTCTTAGAAGACGTTGTAAAATTCATGAAATATATTTGCAATTCGACCGAATCTGAAAAAAGAACATCACAAAATTTGGTTTACTGATTCTGCGAATCTTCTTCAAAAACAAAAGAAGAATCGTGATCTTCTAAAGTCAATACTGCTGTTTTGTAGTAGATCACCTGAATTTCGTACTTTAAGAATATATAGTGATTTAATGTTTTGAGTATAAAATTAGTATTGATTCAAAGTTAAAAGAATCATGGTTTTTTCGATTAGAAAATGCATTATTCTGGTAGAAAAATTTAGAGCTGTGGATGAGAAACGATGGTCGCCGTGGCCGAAGGTCCCACAACGATAACTACCGTAACCTAAAAATAATTTTATTTTCCGTATTCATTTTCTCTAATTTCGTGCGTTTTCAGCCAATTTTTTTCATTATCAAAATCGTTAATTTTCCGACTTTTTTGGGGAAAAAAATCAGTAAAAATAGAGAAAAAAATTTTTGAAAATAAAATTAGATTGCAGTTGTCATTGTAAGAGCTTTGGCTACGGCCACCAGAATTTCTCTTCCACAGTTCACCATAAGCATTCTAATAGAAGGCCACCCTAACCGGCAATTTTGAGCCAGTTTATCTGGGTTACCGTGAATGATATAGAAAAGTAATCAACCGACGAAATATTTGTGATATTATGATCAGCATTCTCTCAGTTGATAACTTTTCGATATCTTTTACAGGAACCGAGATTTCTGGGCTCAAATTGGATGATATGGGTAGCCTTCTAATTGAGTGTATGATTTTTAAAAGCTATTGTGCTATTCGGTCGAAAAATTAACATTCTTATCTCAAAATAGAAATATGTAATTTTCCTAAATCGTTCGATATAGTTAACCATGGTTCCGACGTCATAACATATCCAGACTCAATTCAAACGTTCAACAGATTTCGTTGTTTCTATTTAAATTCCTTTTGTGACTAACTTTTTTCTGTTCCCATTCTTCTTTTATCTCCCATACACTGATATCTGACGTCTCTTTCCAATAAATAGTATATCAACCATAAGTCATAACACAATATGACACATATTCAAAAAGAATTAAGAAAGAAGCCTGAACAAAAAACACAGGAAAACACAAGAAAATCAGAAATAAATTTGTGATTCATCTTTTTCTCTCGGATCGCCCACATTTTTCCCAGGGAAAGTCTCAGATATTGGGGGAAAACGTCTAGTTCGAATAATTCATTTGTACTAAAGCTTCCTTGTTTATGTGGGAAATAACTCATGATATCCTTTTGGTTAGAGTACTAATTTCAAATCGATTATACTTTTCGGGACGAAATGGTTAGAACGGAATAACAAAAATAGGAGCTTATTATCTTTAAAGTTAGACCGAGAGGGTAGAAGTTGAAACTGGGGAGCTCTTTTAAAAATATGAAAAAGGAAGATGGGAATACCTCGGAAAACATATAGTTCATATGAGCTCATTTCCTACATAAGAACTGTTTATAGTTATAGAAAAATGGGAGTTTTAGAAAGAGCATTCGTGAAAAATGATTGATGTCGTCAGATTAATTGAATCATTAATGAATCATATTTATAATGCGGGAGCATTAATTGCAGCCATCAGCACGGCTGCTGAGGTATTTAATAGACTCTTTAAGGTTAGAAACCGTCATTTCTATATTCGGAGGGGCAAAGTGAGCTTGGATTTCAATTATGAGAGCTTTTTTCTGATTTCAGAGCGAAAGCTGGGAAAAATACCAATAAAATCACCAATACAATTTAGAAACAAGATCCTACACTAATCCTTTTCATTTTCGATTTTTTTTCCTATATACAGTAGTCCTTTCCATTTTAGATGAGAGTCAAGCAATTTTATTTCATCAGGGATTTATTCAAAATTATCTAGCGGCAAGATTATCTAAAGGCTGTCAACGATCCGTTCAGACGGTTACTAGCCGGGATTCATCCGACGCTCCCTAGATGTAAATTATCCCCAGGTTATATACAAGAATTCACTCTAATCCAGTAAAATTAATAAATTGCTACAGTTGAAAAAAGATAACTAATCCATTCCCGAACTATTTTTTCGAGTCTTCAAATATCCATTACTCGATTGTCATTTGAATGTACTATTCAATAAAAACCTGAAAGTGAATGTCCTTCATCGCTTTCTCTCATTCCGTTCGTTTACTTTCAATTTCCTGGAACATTGGCAGCCACTTTTTAAGGAACAACCGAAACCTGATTGCGAGTGCGAAACAGATATACATCTTTAATTGGCAAACATACCACACCATCGACGATGTCCACACGAGAACTTGAAACAGTGTGTTGTCTGTCTATTATTCACCCAGAAGCACTTATTATTTGCTTACCAATTCTGTATAAAGGTTTGGCAATCCGCTTCTACGACAAAACATAATCATAATACTATGATGACGGTCACTATAATCCTACCTCTTCTTTTGTTAGTTTCCACAGTTTCATCTCAATCCTACACATTCCCATTGGGACCAAATCAACCGTATCCACAGTATAACAGTGAGTTGAGCAATGAAAATATTTTGCTAAAATCAAAATTTTCAGATATGTACGAGTCTCGGTATCCGTATATTCCAAGTCAGCAAATTCCGCAAGGAGGATCGGGAATGAGTCAGATGAGTCAGATGGGTCAAATGAATCAGCTTCAGCCAGGTCTTCAAATGAATCAGATTCCTAACTTCAGCCCCCGATTCAATCAGATTCCAATGCATAATCAACCACAAAATCTAATCCAGCAGAGGTTCCAGTTTAATCCGATGGCTCGGATTCATGTACAACCTCCTATACAAGGTAGGTCTCAGGAGATTTTTCGGAGTGTTTTTTTTTGAAGTTGTGTGTCGTAGCGGTATGAAATTCTTAGTTTTCACTCTTCGTACAGCTATCGTGCCGCTTTTATATATCCCATCGTTCGGTCGCCACATCTCGCGCCACAGTAGCTCAGCCGGTAGCGACCTACAAAAGTATTTTAGAATTTTTCAATTTGTCTAAAAATTTCAGAGTGTGCTACTTAAGCTTCAATTTTGTAGTTGACAACTTTTTTGTTGAAATTTCATCCGAATGGAACATGCCGCTTTTAAGTGTTAATTCGCTTTCTGGAAGTTATTAGCACTTGGTTGGCTTCGAGCAGTATATCTATTTTAGACAAACTTGTACAAAAAAGGTACTTCGAGTGTATCAACGGAATTTCGAGAGAATTATTCTTTTTATGTCCTCTTACTTCCAAGATAGGTTTTTGCTTTTAAAGTTTAGAATCTGCAGAGTTTTTACGATTTTTTTTTCTTTCTTCCCTTAAACTTCATCGGAGCTTCAATTTCCGATCCTTCATTTTTTCTGATTCTCCCAATTTCCTTCCTCGTGAAACTATTCTTTGGGTCTATCCATTCTAACCCACTTCACGCACTTTCTTATTTCCAGCTTTCTCTTTCATTTACCGTGATCTCAGAAGAATCAACCACAATATTGCTCGTAAAATGCTCTCTAGCAGAATAACTGCTATAAAACAGCTGTAAACCTCCTTCGCATTCAATTGGTTCTTTTTCTCTTCTCCCAATATATTTATTTCTCCGGATATTTGGTAATAAATTGGGGGAAGAAAATGAATCTAGATTCGATGATTCTATTCCCTTTCTTCTAGATTCTTCTGAGCTTGAACTCTTGGTTTTCACTTGTCAAAAAATCCTGACAGCCGGGGGCGAAATAAATCTTTCGTAGTCACCGTATACTCCGATTTTAGTGTCTTTTTTTTCAAAAGGACCCCTGTCTCACCTGTCATGGTTTAGCATGTCTATAAATCATGTCAGTTTCCACAGAAACATATTTTTCTCCGTTTCTTTTTTTTTCAATTATTTTCTTTTCCAGATTCATCCTTTCCTTCCTCGTTTCCATCAAGCTCACCTCGCATCACGTCACCAGTGAGCACTTCGGAATATCAGGTGGATCAACGAATCCCTCTTCCAAAAGCATCGTCAGAGGTAAATTTCGGCTCCTTTTCTTTTGCACTCTCTCTCTTTTTTTTAACTTTGCTTTCTTTTTTCCAGTCGCTTTCTTCCGCTGTCCCCACTCGAATAATTCCCCCATTTCTAGAAAGTGCTTCCGTCGCTGAACAGGACAAAGTTAGTTCCTTTTTCTTTATTTTTTTCTTAAATTTAGCTTCATTCAGTTCTACGAAATCGTGCAGCATCCCACTTGGAGTGGAGTTGAGAAGAATCGACGAATCGAAGAGTTTATGAAAACAATGTCAGACGAGAGACAGGTTAGTTTCGATCATTTCCCATTGAATCCCTTCAAAACAGCTAAACTATTTTGCAGTCGATGTACACCAACTTCCGACGTGACGTCGTTGATAAGGAGCTTGAGGAGAAGCGCCGAAATGTTGATCGCGCGGTGAGCTCAATGACCAAAGAAGCAGCCGACGAGTTCCAACGCGTAGTACGAATTATGCATGATCCGTCTCGAACTGAATCGGAGAAGCTGAAGAAGATTGAGGAGATCTACTCTAAACTCCCGGATGCCATTCGCAAGGAATTCGATGTCAAGCTGAAGGGATTCCGATAATTCATCTGATTGACCGCTTTAATCTCCCTAACTTATTTTTCCTTATAAATATTAAACCAGTTGCTGATCCATAATAAAATAGATTTATTCTACTTTTTTTGCTTGGTTTTTCTAAAACCGTAGTTCTTCGTAAGAACTTTCTTACAGGCGTCTTAAAAAGCCGCAGCAAAAAACAACAAGAATCGTTTTTGAAAATAAATTTAATGTATATCAACTATTTCAAGATGGTAACAGTTTGTAGAGAGTTGAGGGGGTGTACTGGAACATTAAAGTTTCTCAAAACTTCTGGGTGCAGTTGATATTATGCCTGACCATTCCCAATATGAACAAAATGTCAGATGTAAGTGGGGAATCGTCGGGAAGAGGGACTGAAAAAGAGAAAACAAGAAGGATGCAAGAGAAAGTCATCAGTTGTTGGTTAAGAGTTACAGAGATTTTCGGCGCGAGAAACTAAGAGTGAATCTCGATTAGATGAGAATCCGAAAAGAAAGGGGGAGGAGAATGGTTTAATTACGAAGATGGTTCAGGTTGTGACGTGCTTCTTAAGGGTAGATAACTGTTACAAATTCATGAGTTTGGGAAAAGTGTAGAAACGATGGAGGAGTGTAGCGAATTCAAAAAAGACGACAAAATAAAAAACCTAGTTGTTTTTCTATGAGTTTTACAAGTCGAGTATCTAAGCATCGCTTTGTTGTCCTCCACGGCCACCACGTCCGCGTCCTCCGCGTCCACGTCCACCACGACGTCCACGACCTCCGCGTTCTCCTCCCTGTAGTAAATTTCAGGTTTGAAACAGAATCATAACCTATAAACAAACCTCTTGGTCACGAGCTGTCTCCTCGCCTCCGCTGTTGTATCTGGCTCCGCCACGACCTCCGCCACGACGGCTTCCTCCGCGGCCACCGCCACGTGGAGCTCCTCCTTCTTCGGCATCTCTGGATCCAGAGTCGTGTCGGACTCCACCGCGTCCGCGTCTTCCACGTCCGCGTCCTCCTCGTCCACGTCCTGGATTTTCAGAGTCGCGATCAGCAGCATACTTAGATCCCTGAACTGGTCCTCCGTCTGGTCCAGTGACGCTAGAGGCCTCGAGTCCCTTCGATCCCTCGACGATGTCGAAGAGAACCTCCTCGTTATCTCCAAGACTTCTCAGGTACTTGTTTGGGTTGTTGTTGATGATGGCGGTCTGATGGACAAAGATATCCTCATTGGTGTCGGTGCGGTTGATGAATCCATATCCATTCTTCACGTTGAACCACTTGACGGTTCCCTTGACCTTCGTTGCCTTCACTGGCTTCTCAGCTGGTTGCTCTGCTACGTCCTGAAAATAACATGAATTACTACCACATTCGAACTTCTCAAAATAAAATTGTATGGAAAATATTGAATTTCAGGAAAAATGAAGAGAACGTCTCATTTACACATCCCGTATTTCATCTTTTCCGAAACACTCATTTTGATACAACTCTTCAGTGCCCGAGGCCCTTTTTGTTTGCATTTTGGTATGGTCGCTTTGACCGATGACCCATTCCGCGTGCTCCTTCGTAGAAGAAGAAGGAGAGCGTTGAATCAAAGACCATTGCACCTCACAACTTACGTTTTTCTCGGCCATTGTTCCGCGCTTCAGTTCTTCCTCTGGTGTTACCGGCTGTTACTTCGTGTGGCGCGACACAACGCTTGTTGAAACCCTCGCTAAAAGAGAAGATAGATGGGATTTCATTATGCAGAACGAGCAAAGTTATTAGCGGTAATGAGAGAACAGAGAAATGTGGGCGAAAAGAGGTGGTGAGGAGAGTGTAAGCTGACCTTTCAATGCGGACACCAACATTAAACGATTGTCAGAGACGAGTGGAGAGCAGCAGACGGCCTGTGCGGTCAGTGTAACAGAAAAGTTATTGGTTGATGAAGTACACGATGAGCCGCTGCTTTTGCCGGACGCGCTCTTCGCAGCTGACAAAATAGAGAAAAACCAAGTAATCAATAAGTTCAAGATGAAGAGGTGCGCAGAGAAACAGCGAATTGCGTGGGGTTTCCATCTTGTTGAAAGAACTTCGCGTGATTGCTTCGGAGGAGTTAGTTGGAGAGAGTTTGATGTGGAAACTTTGTCGCATAATGGGGAATAGAATCTAGTTCAAGAAAATCACTTCAAAACACAGAAAAGGACATAATTTAAATACAGAATCATGAAATTAAACCAAAAGCTTAGTTGAAGTTCAATTCTAAACAAACTTTGAATAGATTGAAAACTGAGAAGCGACTGGCAACATTCCAAATACAAGAAAGGAAAAGATTTCTTTCTTCTACAATGGGTGTCTCTCGCTGGAGATGGGATTTGGGAGCATCTTTAATTACTATCTGATTCATATATCTCCCAAATATGTGAAATCACTTTCAGGGATACCAGAATTTCAGAGATTGGGTGTCTCCAGTTCAATTGAGCACAAGGGAATTCTCGAAAGAGAAAAGCAAGACCAAAAATGTTCAAAACTGAAAACTCATACGACTAACAACAAAACAATTGTTTTTTGGAAAGAGCGAGATTGCGGATTTCGGAATGTTCATGAGGGCGGCGAAACGATGCGAAAATTTTTGACCCGATTCCTGCTGCAATGCCTTTTGACCTTGCAACATTCTGCAGGCCACCAGCGCCGAGCGTTGTTTGTCCTTCTGGTAGCTTGTTGTTTAGGTAGGAAGGCATACGGTAAAGCAATAGGTTGGAAATGGAATTCAGTGGAATGGAATTAGAGTACGACAGGAACCCACAGACTAGAATAATTTGATTCGAAACAGAAACGCAAACCACAACATTGATAATAACACCGACCGTGTAGGCAACAAGGATCAGAATAATAATGAGAAAGAGACAGAAGTGGAGATGATGGTATAGACAAAGAAGAAGAGTGAGATAGAGCAAACAATAAACAGTTGATAAGAGAAAACGATGAGACCCTTCGGAGCACTGTCACAACAAGGCCGATTTGGGGATGGGGGGAGAGAATGGTTCAAATACAATCGAAAGCGGGGGGAGTAAATGGACACCGAGGGGTACGTGTTGTATGCGTAGTTTCGACTGGGAGGCCACTGCTCGACCCGTCCGGTCCGCCCTTCCACGCTCTGCTATTTCGCCGTTCCTTCGACCATCTCGGTCTCCGAATCTCTTCTCGGCCCCGGGTTGGCCCCACAACACAAGAAGAGAAAAAGAAGAGAAGAAGAGCGCGGCACTCTCTACCTCGACTCTCTTCGGATACACGATCACTCACGATTCCCCCCACGCGCACATGTATACACTCCCCCTGGCCGATCAATAGAGTGCGTGCTCAATGCACCAGACTAAATAATGCATCATTTATCCGAGAATCTTAGGCTGAAAAGCCGTGAGAGGATGAGAGTGCCAACGAAAGAGACAAATTAGGTGAGACATTGCGACATGTAAAGAGAAAGATCTAAACAAAAACTGCGCGAAAGAGGGAATAAACCGAATGCCTTTTGTCGTAGTCGGTTTTTTCGTTTGGAGGACGACACTCAAATTAGACGGGGTCAGTAAGGAATTCATAGAATTTATGGGTGGGAATGGTCGAAAAGTCCTGGAACTAAAGAAATAAAATTTTCGACTGGGAGGCCGCTCGTTGAGTTTTTCTGAATAGGTGGCGAAGGTTAGCTGAACGGAATTTATAAACCGACGTTGTATTTTAACTGGAAGAAATGTTCAAGTTTTTCAAATAAAAGGAACGTTGGCTGAAAAATCAACTGAAAACTATCTTGAAACAATGAAAAGTGCTGAAAAACGAACGAAAAAAGAATATTTTTAGATCGCTGCGAGACCCTTCCTTAAAACCTGATGCGCCTTTGAACGAGTACTGTAACTCCTTTGAAATCTCGAGTTTTCAATGAATAACGTCATGACGCGTCAATATTTATTTCAGGTTTTTTCTTGTTCTAGAACAGATTTTTTGTCATGAATGACCACCATATTAGGGAATTTGATGACGAATTCTAGAATTTTTGCGACAGTATTATGTAAAAAACTGAAAAGGACTGATATTATGCTTGTCTGAGAAAAAAAAGGTTAGAGACTATTTTTTGCAGTCTGAGTACGGTAGCGATATCGAAGCGGAGAGCCTAAATAGCACACAAACGGTGGAGACGCAGACACTTTTTCTCTGCGTCTCAACCTTTTTTTTCTCAGACAAGCATAATAGTTCTGAAAGCTATTTACCAGTCTGGGCACTGAATGATTCCCACTGCTGTTTCAGATAAAATCTACAGTAATCTCTTGATGGGCATCTTCTCACCACTATAAATGTGTCTCGGTCGCATTTTGTGGTTGCGTCACTATCTCTTTTTTTGATAATCTATTCAACCACCCCCTCAATCAGAACCCAAAGAATAGGGAAACCTTTCATTTAGTTCATTAGGTGGGAAGAAGTGAATGTGCATATATTAAATAAAGAAGAGGATGAGAGCACAATTCAATAGCCAGGAGAAACGCGTGGAATCGGGCAAGCGGAGCATTCACCAGCCGGTCCAGCTGGTCCCATTGCACCTGGAGCACCTCTGCCGCCGTCTCGTCCTTTTGCACCTTTCGCTCCCCGATTTCCTGGTGGTCCTGCGACACCGTGACGTGTAGAACCATCAGCTCCTCTCTGACCTGGAACACCAATCGGACCGGGCGGGCCAGGAGCTCCTGCAGGACCTTCCACAGTTTTATGTCCTTGAATAGATACTCCAGGATCCCCAGGTGGTCCTCTTGACCCATGAATTCCCGGCTCACCAGGTGGTCCAGGAGGGCCCGGGGGTCCAGGAGGACCTGCAGTCACGTAGAAATCTGAGTTTCCAATCGGCCCAGGCAAACCACGAAGACCCTAGAAAATGATTGATTTGAGTGAAAACATGACAGATGGACCAGATTTTTTAGATCAAGTAAGGATCAGTCTAATCTCATCCCTTCTGTACCTTTGGTCCACGCGGCCCTGGTGGACCTCTCTTCGCCGGCGGGCAATCAAAACAGAAGTCGTCAATCTCGGGAAGTATGCGTTCGGGTACATTCGCACCAGGAGTGCCTGGGAATCCTTCAGATCCATCCTCTCCGTCTAAACCATCTGGTCCCGGGAAGCCAGGAGGGCCAGGAGGGCCGAAGATGCAGATACGCTGAAGGTTTGTTTACTTGAGAAAGTGTTTTGAAATGTTTCGCTAGATGTGATCAACAATGAAAATTCGAAATTTTTCGAAACTAAACCATTCAGATGAATGGTTTAGTATTGACCATTCAGATGAATGGTATATGTTTGCTGGTTTTGTATAAGAGGTTAGATTAAATTTAGTTGAATTTTGCATAGGGGTCTACAGTATTCTTATTAGAACACAGAAATAGGTTTTTTTTGAATAACTATAACATTTTGGTACGAAAATTGGAAAAAAAAGAAACACCGGGGGAAGTGGCCGAAGGTCCCACAAAGGCAACTACCGTAACCTAAAATTATTTTTATTTTTAAATGTGTTTTTCTCATACTTGCAACGTGCCGGTCAGGTTTTTTTTTCAGAATTTCCAAAGCCCGGCATGGGGTTTCAGAAAATTTGTCAGAAAGGAATTCCTGTCTTTTCAAAAAATTTTTCGGGGTTAATAGAAAAAAATGAACGATTTTTTTTGTTAAGTAAAAATTTTTGTATGTATGGTTTTTTTCTCGATTTCCGTATTATTTCCGTATTATGAGAAAAAAAAAGGAATTCTGAACAAATAAATATTTTTAGGTTACGGTAGTTTTCGTAGTGGGATCTCCGTTCACGGTCACCGGCGTTTCTCTACAACAGCTCTAGTTTTCTGTACCCGAATAATAAATAGCTATCACGGGGTTGCAACAGGGTATATAAAATTTGAATTCTCAGTGCTCTTGGGCGCGTTGCGCCGCGCGGCGCAACGCGCCCAAGAGCACTGAGAATTCAAATTTTATGTACCCTGTTTCAACCCCGTGAAATAGGTTCGATTAGGTTCGATTTTTTTTTCTTTATCTACAGTAATCTTGGAACTTCAAGGGGTTCGAAACAACCCAGAAATTAGTGTATTAGAATTACTGTACTTACTTCTTGCCTAATCTGTTGTACTTCCACTGGCTGCTGAACTGGCTGAATTGGATGTGAGCATCCAGTATCTGCACATCCAGTTGATTGATGAACGGCATGCACGGTGCATCCGATTTCTTGTCCACAGTTCGTTGGCGCTCCACACTGGGATACATCGCTACAGTAATCCAGGAAAAATTGCCTTTTTCGTCTGCTTGCAACACCTTTCTCAATTGCTAACTGGAAAAAACCCCCCGTGGATTCTGAATATACTAGTTTTAAGTAAAGTTACCCGAGCTAAAGTGTCCCATAAGTCATGGGATTTTGAGACACAATGTTTCAGCTCGTATTCCAATGCATTCTGAAATGTATAATATAATATTTTACGCTGCTTCAGAATTCAGATAACCTGAAATGTATAAGTCTTCGAGAACAGAACGACGCCGCCAACTAATCCAAGTATCAGAACAGTTACAGTGATGCCGATAGAAATTAAAGTCACACAACGGAGAGACTGAATCTCCTGATTCTCCGTCCATTGCCACGTCATCACGGGCGTACGGAGGAGAAGAAGAAGCGGTTGGAGGGATGAATACGGTGTGGAGAAGAGGATATACAAATAACGGAATTTCACAAAAACACTTCGAATGCGCGCTTACAAGTGCCTGAAGCATTTCTGAACAACTGGTAGACGAATGTCTTTATAAACGATTGGATTTTTGTAGTAGGATCAAGAACAATAGAATGTGGGAAGATGATGAAAGGGAAACAGAAAAAAAAACAACAACAAGTGATAAATATAACAATCAAATGTAAAACAATAAGGGTAATAACAGTAACAGATTCAATACTTTTGAATGCATCTTCCATATAAATGACATCTTTCACATTCAGCACAATGCACGTATCTCGGCTTCACACATTTATCGCATTGATCACAGTGATTCCATTTGCCTTGCTCAACCGAGGTGCACGCATCACAGCGTTCACAGTGAATATTGTTTTTGGTGACATAGCGATCGCAGCTCTCACAGAACTTGTATCCATCAACCTTCTCCAAATCAATGCAATTTTTTGGCAAATTGGTGAACAATCGGACAATTGTCTTCTCCGGATATTGATAAAGTTTGTGTCCAACATAAGTCACGCGATAGTCAGACATCCAAAAGTTGTCATGAAGCACATATTTGCGGATATAAATTGGCAGAACGATCATAGAATAGAACGAGGTGATCTCTTTTCCAGTTGATACAAATCTCTGCTTCATTTTTTCGATTGTCTTCAGAAGAGGCTCCATAAACACTCCGAAAGGTGGATCAGTGATGAGAAGAACGCTCTTGCTGTTTTGGAAGAATTCCATTAGCTTTGGTTCTGCATTTTTGTCGAAGAAATGATCTACGAGCATACTGTACTGAGCGTATTGCTTCGAGGGGAAGAATTTTGCCTGGAACATTTTTATAAAAAATTAAGTTGAATAAAACAACAAAACTTACAAATCTCTTATCATAATCTAACAAGAAGACATTCTTTTCTGGGTGGCGGGCACGGATATTTTCGAAAATCTGAAAACAAAAACGTAGTAAAGCTGCTAATTCTGTTCCACTTACTCTTGGAGCTCCGATACAGAGGATTCCGTCCACTTTGGACTTCTCCACAGCTTTGACAATCACCCCAAGGGTTTCCTCAGAAAAGAAGAATTGCTGAAGTTGTATGAAAGTTGGAAATTGATATTTTAAAATAGACTCACTGATTCACCATGTTGTTCACTAACTGGAGGAAGAAGGTTCGTTGGTTTGGCAAGTGTTTCTTTCTCAACTGGTTCACATACACATTCATGCTTGTTTGCGAACACATTGATACAATCCTTGCAGTAGAGAACTGTGTCGGTTGGCTTCATTTCAGTGAGACTAAAACAACGAAAATTCGAAGATTATGGAAAATTGAAACTAACGCTTTTGGAATACGATTGTATCCGAATATTTTCTTCTTCTTCTCAGAATCTTCTCCCTCCTTCACTTCAATTTCCCCGGTTTCCTTGTTGTACTGCAGTTTAAAATCACAGAATTCGTCCTGGTTTCTGTAAATCGCACAAGAGAAAAATGTTTCCTCGACTTCTGGTCCATTCTTCTTTTCAAACAAAAGACATGGGCCATGTGAACATTCAGGTACACTTGGCAGATCATCTGTCGGGAGCACTTGGAAGAATCCACGTTGTCTCAATGCAGTGCTGTCCTGTTTGGGAGCCTTCTCATAGCTATTCTCGTTTTGAGGACCGTTGTGATAATTTGGCCTTCTCGAGAAATTATTTCGACGGCGAGCCTGTAAGAACATGCCTTTAGTTCGAAAGTCAGATGTTTTCCTAAACCTTGAAAACATTATTCTTCTTGGCTTGCTGCATAAAACGCTGCTTTCTTGCCAACCGTTTTGCTTTATACTCTTCAGAATGGACCATCTGAATATTCCCTGATTTCTAGCAACTAGTTTTAAGTCTTCAGACGAATTCAATAATTTTGGAATACATTGATCCATAGAGTTCATTTATATCGCAAAGTTGATGATGTTAGAACGGTTCATTTGAATATACATTAAAATTCGTACTAGGAACTCGGGACTAAATCTGGGTGGGTGGGGACGTTTTACATTTTCGAAACGAAAAAAAATGGAAGAAAAAACGGAATACAGAACGGGGATGGGTTGGAAACAGATCGGTTCTTCTTCTCAACGGCAGCTTAAAGAGAGAAGACGAGTTCGAAAGCCTTGGTGATTCCGACGTCGTTGGTATTGAAGTGAAGAAGACCAGCGAGCAAGAGTCCAGTGATGAGGTAGACTCCGATGTGTGCAGCCTTGGCAGCAGCCTCTCCGATCACATATGGACGAGCGTAGTCGTAGACGACTCCGTGGATTCCCCTGTAGAAGAAAAACATTAAACACTCTTCAAGACTTCATATTTCGATTGCTATTTTTTGTAAAAAAAAATTTTTTAAACATGAGTCCGATAAAAATTAGTGAATTTTTTTTTTGAATTTTTTAGAAGAAAGCCTACACTTGGGTTCAAGCGAGGGTGTCAGAAAGCTCGCCCCAGTAAATTTAGGAAAAATTCTGAATTCGCGGCCGAATTTCATTGGCTGAGTTTCACAGTTTTAAATGAAGAGCGAAAAAGCGCGCCTTGCAACCAGTTGATTTTGAAGAAATTGATCATGATCTAGATCAAACCCGCGTCCACTTTAAAATTATTAAATTTCTTCTGGCCTACGAGTTTGCTGGGGCGCGCTTTCTGACCCCATCGCTTGAACCCGGAGACCCCGCAAATTCCGGGGAAAGAAAAAATCGGAGAAAGTGGGCGGAGACGAGAAAAACCGTGCCAGGGTTGCAATTTAGGCTCCACTCCCTCATGACCGTGTCCAAATGTGCAGAAAACCCGTGCGGCAAAACCGTGCCAGGGTTGCATTTTAGGCTCCGCCCCCGACTCCGCCCACTTTCCCCGGTTTTTTCCCCGGAATTTGCGGGGTCTCTTGAACCCAAGTGAGCTTAATGAAGTTATTCATGAGATCAAAACTTTATTTTATTTTGCTTTCAAACTCATTCCAAATAGCATATTTTTTATTGGGGTTATGCATGATTTGTTTTTTAATTACAGAAAAATACGAAAAAATACATGAAATAAATTTTTCCGCATGCATGCATTCATTTTTTGTGTTTAAAAAATACAGAAACACATTTTTTATGTCATGAATAACCCCATATGCCATTGGCTATTTTTTCATATAGCCGGAAAATTAGCAATTCTGGAAAAAAGCATACCAATGAATATGGAGAGTGAGAGCGACAGTCAGAACTGCATCCATGACTGGTCCGTGGATGAAGTAGGATGCTGGGAGAATTGGGAGCATTCCGACGGCCCAGAGACGTTCGAGCTAGAATTTTTGATGGTTATCATTTTCAGAACAGAGGAAAAAAATCTACCTTGAAATGCATCGAGTGGTCCGGAACTTTGCTGGCTCCATCATTCAAGGTTGAAGTGGCACGAACGATTGTAGAAAGTCGTGGGGCTGTTTTAGCTACGAGGAGAGCCTTTTGGAAGTGAGCCATATGACGGAGAGAGGCAGCCATCCTGTACTTTTCTTATAGAAACAAATGTATTCAATGAGGATTTGTTTTCTTAGTTAAATTAAGTTTAGGGAAAAGCACTCTGAACAGAGAACACACAAAAACGAGAGAGAACAAGTCACAAAATCAATTCGGCGGTGCCTACGACACTCCGAAATAACGCTACCGCGCGTTGTTTAGCAGCTGAAATGCAACTTTTGCACGTCGCGTACTTAATTTGGTGGGAAGTTCAAAACTGAAAGCAAAGCTGAAGGTTCAAAGAAATTAGGTCTTGAGAAAATTGGCATAATGGAAAACCGAAAAAGAAGCGCAAACGATGAACCAATCGAAAAAGCGGAAGAGGCGAAGAAATCGAAAGAAACCAAACGTTCGAAATCTTCACAAAATTATAATCGCAAACGTCGGTTTTCAGAACTTTACAGTACTCCAGCAGCATACGGATGTCGAAAAGGAGAACGATCGGATATGCAAGATACTCACATCATGCAACCGAAATTCGATCTAGGAGCTGACAAAGAATTTCTGTAAGTTTTAATTTTCCGTTTTCCAAACAACCGCTTCAGATCTCGTTCTTCGTTTTTTGCCATTTTCGACGGTCATGCTGGACCACGTGCTTCCGAACATTGTCAGAGACAAATGGGTAAAACAGTGAAAGAAAAACTAGACAAATGTAGACGTTGAAATGGTGTACATATTTTTGAAAAACCTAAACTTACAGCTTCCGATTTCACTACAATGACCAAGTCACTGAAACAGTCTTTCACAGAATCATACAAATCGGTGGACGATGAATTTCTGGCATTAGCGAAGCAAAACAAACCAATGTGGAAGGATGGAACTACCGCTACAACGATGATAATTCTGAATAATGTAGTCTACGTAGCGAATATCGGTGATAGCAAAGTGGTTGTGGCTCGCAAGAAGGATGATGGTTCATTTTCTCCAGTGTGTCTTACTGTAGACCATAATCCAATGGCTCACGACGAAAGAATGCGGATTCAGAAAACTGGAGCGACAGTGAAGTAGTTGTTTTATCTAACTTTCGTTGTTCAACTATTTTTCGCAGAGATGGGAGAATCAATGGAATCATCGAGGTGTCAAGATCTATCGGGGATTTGCCCTTCAAATCTCTCGGAATCATCAGCACTCCGGATCTGAAGAAATTGACACTCACTTCAAATGATTTGTGAGTTTTTTTGTTTAAAAGCAAAACGAAACGAAAAAAATCGGTTCAAAAACTTTATGTGCATACATATTCTTGGAATAGTCATGACGAGGTTAAAGCAGGTGAAAATTTGAGTCGAACGGCTTGTAGATGATATAATAATCAGTTAAATTTTGTTGCCTTCGATTTCCGAAATTGAATCCGGTAGTTGTTTGTTGACTGTCTCTGGCAACATCAACCACGAGACGATTGAGGCACAAATGGCCAAAATTGTGAAAGGAACAATCATGACGACGCGTCCGAATTTGTCAACCTAAAATGAAAAAAGTCAGAGGTGATCCAAATGAGAAATATGGATAACCAAAAAAAATGCGATGAATGAAGCTGTAATAGCTCCGAATCTAGCGATGGTAGAGCAGCATCCCACGGCAGTGTTACGAATAACAGTTGGGAACAGTTCCGATGTGTATGTGTACATAACAGTGTAGGAAACAGAGACAGCTCCTTTGGCAACCATGAGCATCACTACTGCGTATTCATGTGGGATCATATCATGTGTCAGCCAGTTGGCAAGAAGAAGCAGACCTGCGAGGAAGATGGATCCAGAATACATGACCTTTCTTCCAAGTCTGTCAATTAACAAAGCAGTTATAATAACTGCCGGAAGTTCCATGATTTGAGATGTTATGAAAGTCACGAAGAGACTTCCGCCGCCTACATCACTTCTCATCGTCATTCCATAGTACATCATAGTCGTTACTGGCCACATGACGAAGTTAGTCAATGTTCGTTTCCTCATTTGCGGAGTTCGAATCAGATCGATTACTCCAAATGTATCCTTCTTCTTGGTCACAGTTACATCCATTTTCTTCCCGACTTGGTTAGCCCAATCCTTTGGAACTGTCTTCTTGTTCCAGTTTGCTGTTGCACAGAGTACAACATTTGCATCATCGTATTTTTCTTGAGAAACCAACCAACGAGCACTCTCATGAATGATCCTTAAATTAAGAATCAGTAAATATTGACCATCTTTAATTCCTTACCAGTAGTAGGTGATGAAAATCAGTGATGGGATGGCAATTGCAGCATGGAGGAATCGATAGTCTACTATGAAGTAAGCCAGAATAGCCAGCCCCATCTAAAATTTTTTTCGGTAATCAGAGCGTTTAAAAATTACGCATACCCCTCCAATAACGGAGAAGACGTTGGCAATGACAGCAATGATGCTACGGTATTGTTTTCCAACCAATTCAATTCCTAACACAACTGCAACTCCATAGATTCCAGGTTGAGAAAAGCCGGTTCCAGCTCTGTAATCTTTAAAATAGTCGAAGAACAAAATGTTTCCTCTTACTTGAGAATAGCGTAAATCCACCAAGTAGGGGCTACAATCAGCAAAAGAGCACATGCTACTTGGAGCACTAGACACCAAAAGAGTACTTTCTTCCTTCCGATTTTGTCAGCCATCACACCACAAGTAAAAGATCCAACAAGTTGTCCAATAAAATATACTGCTTGTACAGTGGCTTTGATCCACCCGTTGTCTCCATCCATTTCCCACTGAAACAATTCATTCAGAACTTTGCTTCTTATGATTAGTGATTACCCGGTCGGATGCCGAATATGCCCGTTCTTTGCATCCATCATCGAAAATTGTTTCGTTGGTTCCATTACATCTGAAACATCAGCAAACAGTTTGGTGATTGTTTGTACCCAAAGAAAACACATTGCGTAATATTTTGACAGGGTCAGACAGATCAGACACACACATTGTTAGTACAGACTAGAAGACGTCATTTTTGGTGATAGTAAAGTGAACACGTGGTAACTGGTGATCGTCGCACTTACATCCTTCTTGCTGATGAGACGACAAAAGTCCAACTCATCACATGCATGGAAACGAAGGCGATTGGTATACATATTAGAATGAACTGGATCTGTTGAAATCTGAAAAACAATTCGTCTTTACTGTAGGTTGTTTTGGTTGGGTGGTGAACTAAAATATTGTTATAGAATATAGAAGAATTCACAAGAATCTACAAAGTTGGGTTTAAAAACTGTCATACCGAATTCTTGAAATTACAAAAAAAGAAGAATGATTCACCTTCCAAAACTTCCGAGTCCTTCGAAAAGCGATTCAAGTTTGATCTTGTCATTGGATACATTGTCTTCCTCATGATGAGCGGCTTCCTCAAGATGAGCAAGGTCTTTAATTGGAGTAACTTTGGCCGAAGAGGCCATGGTCGAAGAAACTAAATCTATCCTCTTTTCATTCCTATTATACCCTTTCTCGCCTACGGACCACCAATGGATACCGAAATTCAAGTACCGCCCCCATTCTATTCGTCTTTCGATCGGGGTGTTACGGTCATTTAGTCATAGGATATCAAGCCGCCTCCTCCCTTCTTTCTTGACATTATCACACGTGCCGTCTCCTCCAGCGACTGTTATATTATTTTATTCGGTGACTCCCTTCGAACGAATAACTTGAATTTTGAAGTTCATTGGAAAATTCCAACGGAAGATGGCAACGAAATGAAAAGCAAAGATAACTGGACACCAGATATACTGTGTATTCCGTGGATATTCAGGCGGATGGACTATGATCAGGGGAAAAGTATTCGGAAAGAAAGACTCACTTGTTTATCAATCTTGAGACCTTGCTCGATCAGCGGATTCATAACTTCGTTGATAACGTCACTAGAACAGTAACTGGTGATTGTAGTCTGAGCCGTGGGCACTTCCTCGACTTCCTCATCTTCGAGACTCTCATCGATCGACATCTTGTTCCTAATAGATAAATGACTGGCCATTCTGACTTAGCAGGTCAGAGAAAAGTGCTGGACTGAGGGCTCTCTGCTTGCGCGAGACCAGAGACAAACATGGGCGAGATAGAGCACACTTCATGGACATCGATTGGATTAGACGAGATACTCGAAGATGTGGCTGAAAAGGTGCCCCGCAAAAGAAGAAGAGAAGATAGATCTAGAGAAAACTTTTTTAAAAACACGAACAATGAAATGCCGATTTTTATAGGTCACCCCCGCATTTGTGGAAAGCCTTTTTACTTTTTTGATTCGATTAATATTGTTCTGTTTGCAGGTTCGCTATCATCGCTTGTGACGGTCTCTGGAAGTCATTCTCGAATGTGGAAGCAGTCACGTATGCATCCGAACAGTTGGAAGTTGCAAAGAAGGTATTGTTTTGAAAAGAAGGAAGTACAAACGTCCCCTGCAGAAGTGCATAACAACTGGGGTCGAAGAACACCCCTCACCAGATAGAACTGTCATCATCTTTCATCTGATCTGATAGCTGACGCGGGTATCGGTTTCTATCTGTGACATCTGCGTATCAGAGAAATCAGCTGAATAGGTTGCGGGATAGTAAACAACACTTGAAGCCTTCTTCTCCCCCCAGTAGACGTCATCTGTTCGCTGATTTTATGACGACGACCTGCTGCACGTGTTGATGGAGTAAAGATAAGAATGATCCGTGCGATCACCAGAAATATTCTCAGATCATGAACTATGATAGAAAGAGAAAAAATGTAGTGATGATAACTATCATATGGTAGAAAACTGGTTATCACTGCATAGTAGTTCGTGGTCATTCTTGCCCTTTTGTCTTTCACCGCAACGTTTTAGGTCTATGTTTTTATGAGCGATTTAGAAAAATAATAAATTTCCCGGCATTAGGAGATGTCAAGACAGAATCGTACGATTGTCAAATTCTTCCTTTTTCAGATGGACATCCAACAAGAACCAAACGAGTCTCGGAAAATAGCCGAATTAAGAATCGTAGCGGAAAGGTTGGCATCAGAAGCGGTCCGCCGGAAATGTGGTGATAACGTTTCCGTGATTGTAGTCAAGTTGGAGCTAATTGATTGTTAACTTTAATAATACTTTTTATGTGCTAACTCCTGTTCATATGCATTACACTGTTTATTCGATTCATAATAAAAAATGAGCAATTGGAAATGTTCGAAAGAGGAAGAGGTTTGCTTTAACTGCTTCGGTCGGCACCCGGGGAGACTAGAAGAAACAAAGGGGAGGGGGGAATCATAAGGTACCGGTAGGAACGGGGGGAAACGAGAGAAGATGAACGTCTTCTATTCAGAAGTTGTCGATGGTTTGATGCTTGGTAGCATGCAATTGGATCAACGACTCGAGGGGATTGAAGGGTTGGCGAGATGAGTTGGCAGGCGATGGAGCCAAGTCTTGGAGTTGGAGACGCTTCAGAACGTCTTCTGGATTTGGACCATCGAACCATGGCCATTTTTCGGTGACAATGTCAGTTGGGTCTTCGAAGGAAGTACATCTTCCGAGGGTCTTTTTGCCTGAAATTCGATAAAATTTAAAATATGATTAGGAAGAAAAAACACTTACCATCTCTGGCGACACGCTCCATGTATGGAATGAAGTTTTGATTCCACAATCTGATGAACCATTCACGAGATCCATCAATTGTCAATGGACAATTCAAACAGGCTCTTGGTCCAACTGTTACATCCACCGAATTGGTTTTCTCGATGAAATTGTTGACTGCTTGAAGAGCCACGGGGAAGAATTCGATGATTCTGGAGAGCTCTGATGGCATTTGAACACTCAGACGGTATTCATCTTCGACTGCACGTCTTCTGAGATAACGGAGAATGAATCCTTCCAAACGATTCGACATCACTGACATTTTGAAATTTGGAATAGTTTTGAGTTCTGGGATTTGATAGCGGTTTACTGTGCAGACGACGAATGGTCCCTCGTTATTCTGGAGAGGAACGTTGGCGAAAACGGAAACAACGAATGCGATTCTGTTCTTCGGAATATTGTCGAGAGTGACGACACATGCTTCTTTGCTTCTCAGAATCTTCTCCAGACGTCGTTCGACTTGAAGAAGTTCTTCTTTGTTATTTTCAGGAATTGTGATATTCACAATTTTATCTTCTGATTGATTGGTTTGAAGGGAGACATAAGCAGCAAGTGTTTTTGCCAATTTGCTTTTCCCGATTCCAGTAGCTCCTGCTAGAACAAGTCGTCGTTCGGTGACGATGGATTTCACGAGTTGAAGGATCATTTGTCTTGGAAGAAGCATATCCAGAACCATTGAATCGACACGGCTTTGAGCTGCTCCGTACATGAACATTCGGATTGTCGTCGTTGGAGTGAGAATATCAACTGGATGACTTGTGATAATGGTTGAAGAGTCTCCAATGACTCTTCGAAGCTCTCCAATCTGGTATCCGAAAATAGCGTCCTTGGCATCTAGACCTAGCTGGCGGTCCAGATCAATTTTTGAAAGATACTTCTCGAATGAATCCAGAATCGAATCATCGATATCTTTCCATGTAGAATTGTTGGCTGGCATTGGAAGGTATCCAACAATTATTTCCTTGTCCGGATTCACAATGGAGCTAATTTCTCCAGCGATATCCACATTGACAGTAACTTTGATTGAGTTGCATCCAGAAGATCTCTTGGAAGATTGACTGGCCGAAGTGGAACTGCATGCATGATCATAAACATGCTCATCGTCCTGGATGTATGGGAGAGAGGCTCGGGAAGAAGCACGGGTAGTTGAGGTATTTGTCAATTTGTCAACTTCTTTCTTCAATTGCTTGTTCTCATTTTTGAGCTTATTGACAGTCTCCTTAAGAACATCCACCTCTCTTGCTCTATCCAGATTATCCAATCTGACTTCATACAATGCGCTATCCCTCTCTTTCAGCTCTTGTCTCAATTCAATAACATCAATGTTGTCCAAAGTTCCCTGTGATCCAGATATCGATGGCATGTGTCCTTCATCGTAATTCTTGTTCTTCTTTTTTGTGAATTTGGACAGTGACGAGCGAATCTGCAAAAATGGCAGAGAATTAGGAAAATGTGGTTCATTGATAGATATCAAAAATCACAGGACACACTATATTTAATGTTTTTACACAAAACAATTCTACGACTTCACAATAACTAGACCACTGTACCTGAGAATCTACGGAAAGCGCCTGAAAACTTAGAAGTTCTAGTTTCGAAATTCACGAATTTACGATTAGAAACATACCCAGCTCTTTTTGTTCTTTCCAAATGAGCTCAAACTGATCTTCTCTTGTTTGCTGCTCTTGGAAGATGATGACATGGAGGATCGATGAGAGGCAACGGATTCCAGAGATGGTTGACGGAGAAGTTCACCAGCGCCTTCCTGAAAATGTCTAGTTGAGGATCCTGAATCTTCCATTTTTAATCTCACATTAACATGCATCGAATTCGTCGCCAGATGATTGCTAATCTCTCTCAAATGAGCAATGTCCTGTCGGAATCTTGTCGCTTCATCTGGTTTCAAGTTTGACCGATCAATATGGGAAGTCAGTTTTCGAAGTTTTTGCTCGAAAAGATCAAACAGTGCTCCATAATTTTCTTGCTTCTTGGTCAACGAATCCACCGTGTTTTTATAACATTCCAGATCACGAGCCATATCTCTGATTGCATGTTCATACTTCTCATTGAGCGTTCCATATGCCGTGGTGCTAGCCAAAGACAGCTGGGATCCCATTTCGCTACGAGCAGAGTGAGCTGGCGATTTCTGAAACTTCATAAAATAGTTTTTATTGATTCAGAATTTTATATAGTTCACCTCATCTGACAGACGGTGAAGCTGGAATGGTTCTCCATAGATTCCAGTAGACGATCCACCTCGCGAGCGAGCAGAATAGGATCCTAAAAAAGTGAAATTCGAGTTGGGAAAACCGAGATTTCTAGGTTTTGGAATAAATAGAACTCAGGGTAGAGGCACTCCATCACCAAAGAAATCATAATAGACGAAAAGAAGGGAAATTAAAAAAGTTGCGAACCCCTGATGTTATTACTGTTATGGGCAGGCGAAGCAAGAGAAAGTGGAATACGGGCGGTGGGAGCGCGTGGAGAGTGTGATCGACGTGTTGATGGTGAAGCTGTGACAATGCATGATGCAGCAGGTGACTGATGACGGCGTGGGGGACGAGGTGAAAGCGATTCGAGGAGAATCATCGAACGAGACATGCCCGAAGAATTGAGGGCAGCTGCTGTAGTGGCTAAAAGAAAAAAGCGAGAATGCACCGGCTGGGTTAGGTAGGAAAAGACATGAGATGTTAGAAAATTATTATGAAACAAAAGATAGAAGCGATTTGAACTAAATCAATCCTTAGCCCTGTTTAGAATCTTACCTGATGATGAATCGTATTTCGACATAGAGTTGGGAACTCTTCTAGGGCTCAAAAGAGCCGCCATCCGATGTTCGGCAGATGTGAATTCTTGAAGATGACATTTACGATCAAGAGAATGGAATTGACCTGAAAAGGGGAAAGCGATAGAAAAGAAAATCGAAAAGAGGAAAACCCGAAAAAGAATAGAAGTGGGTATACAAAATCATCCTGCACAACTTACCTGCATAAGATGGTTTCTGGGACGATGGTCTCCGACTGGTTTGTGAGTGCATCGACATTGTATCCTTATCAGCTGACACTGTCAGATGTGGAGAGTACGAGGAGTAGCCAGGGGATCGGAGAGAATGTTGACCGAATGAAGAGGTCGCAGTGGCAGCTCCACGTTGGCTGGTGCGGCATTGTGATAAAAGTTTGTAGACGTTCTCCTGTTCGACTCGGGAACGAGAGTCGACTGAAGTGGATGGGCGGCTCGGGACACGTGGACGAGATGAAGATGAGGATGTATGACGAACGAAGTGGGAATAGTCGCTGTGTTTTGAGGCGACTGTCGCCATGTCTCTGGAAAAATGAAATGGTTGAGGGGAAGTGTTGTTAAGATGTTTTTAGGAATACACTGATAATAAAAATGGGACAACCATGATACTTCTATTCTAAAACCAAGTTAAGCCTAAAGTGAGAACAGGAAACGAGAGAATAAAAATGAATGAGATACCACCCTCTCACTGCTTGCATTCACTTCATAAATCAGACCTCCTATCGCTCTTTTCACTCTCTTTTCAATCCGTCTCGAAGTCAATTTGGAGTGAAATTGAGAAATTATGCGAAACGGAACACCAAGATGTATTGGTTTTGCCTGGTCGTGTTTGGAGTGAAATGTGAGCGAAATCGAGGAAGTGTTGGTTTGAGCTCTAAGAATTTATTGACTCGACTGGACTTCTTCATCTGGGAAGGGAACGTGCGGCAAAACGGGGAACGCGTATGTCTCATAAACACCGGGAGGAGTGGAGACTGCCAATTACTCAAGATGGAGCAAGAAATGGAGGCAGCTGACTGACTTGTTATTATTATTACTTTTATTATAAGAAGGATGAGGTATATGGTGGTGGAAGGTCCAAGTGTAATGGAATAGTTTGTAATGGCACCCCGAACAAGATATATAAACAAACGGATCTGTGGGAACAGAAAGAAAAACACTTACATGCCGGACAGGTCGTCCGTTGAGATGTCGTCGAGCTCGTTGTTGTCTGAGATGCCAGAAGATAGAGACGAACTGTCTTCGAAGCTGAAAATTGAGGAAATAAAAAATTGGATAAATTATTCAAAGCGAAAGAAGAGATTGAGAAATCCCCTGAAGTTTTGGAACGAAAATGTTTAAGTCTACCGTAAAACCTGTAATAGAAGGGTTCCTCACTTTTGAGTTTGAGCCTATTTTTCTTTTTCTGAAAGATAATAAAAAGTTGCCAACTGATAAATTGTTTATTTTATTATCAAAAATGTTTTATCAGCTTACAAGTTTTTGATATCTTTCACAGGAATCGAGATATTCGAGCTCAAACTTGACAGTGTGGGGACCTTCTGTTACAGGTTTTATGGTATGCTACAGAGTCTCCGCCAAAGAAACCATTATTTTCCAGAAGTCTAAACTTATAGATTAGTGTCATATCCGGAAGTTAAGAAAACTAAAAACATAATATATTTCATACTTCTGAATCCGATTCGGATGTATTTTTGAGATTAATCTCTCCTTCTTCTACGTTTTCTAACCTCCCAAAACCAAATTGAAGTACTACTATGTCCTTGCCTTTCCTTCTTATTCTTCTTCTCAAATCATTATAATCGGTTTAAGAAGGCGCCCGCCCCCCAACGAAGATGATGTAGAGCAGATGGGCACGGAATTATAAACATCAAAAAGAAGAGGAAGGGTGGGACAAGACAAAAGTTTTAGGACAAAATGAAATGGACCATCAGCAGGCGAAAACCCCATTTTTAATCTTGATTGCGTGCAATTGGTCATTAAAACATTTGGAAAGAAAGGGGGGGGGGCGGACGAAGGAGAAAAGGAGCCGGTGGAGCACACAAGGTATAGGGTCGTTTCCTATAATTATGACACACTTCATTTGGTATTCGAAAGGTTTCAATAATAAAGATCGTAAAGGTGCCGCAGAAAAGGCGAGGAAACAGATTCAAAGACGGAAATTTTCTGGTTGGATTTTGGAGTTCTAGGATCTCATTTGCCGAATGTTCTGATTCTTTCTTGAATCGAAAGTTTCTAGTTTTTTGAATTCTGGGATTCCAAAATAATAAGTTTTTGCAAGAATCAACCTACTTTTGAATAAGCCTTGATAGGAACGACATCTTCTCTACGTTCACCTGCTTCTAGATGGCCTGACGAACTGAACTAAAACTTCTACATACTACTAAAGCTATTCATAAGAGAAACCCCTTCCGAAAGAGCACACCACCTATGGATGGCGACAATTGGCGACAAATTTCAAAAGAGAAGAGACCTCCAACCAACAATAGAATGAGCCGCGCTGAGCCTTTCCCAACGTACGGAGTACATATTCTAGTAAAAAGTGTTTCGGAGCAGCAGGAGTAGAAGACCCAAAATTAAAAACACATTGTTTCCAAAAACACTTTTTCTTCATCTTCCTCTTTTTAAATGATTGCTTCTCTCTCGCCTCAAGTTTCGTGGAAAATGTAGTAAAATTTGAAGAGAAGAGAAAAGAAATTCGAAACATGCAAATTCTCTTCTTCTTCTTCTTCTTTTTCTCACCAGGTCGGCGCCCGGTGGATGGGGAGAACCACACAGACAGTTTAGTTATTTATGAATTGAAGAAGGAAAAGGGGAAAAGATTATGTAAATGACAAAGAAGGGAAGAGTATGCGGGAGTCGGCGAGTTGAAAAAGAGAGTTTGAGTGGCTACTCGAACACTTTTATCTTCTTTCTCTCTATATGTTTCTCTGTGTTGTTTCCCTTTTGAGTGACCAACGAGAACGATAGAAGGAAAGCGCTGCGTTTGTTCTCGGCTTAATGAATTAATTATAGGAACAAGGCAATCGGAAGACATAGAAAACGGACGACGGAAGTCACCAACATCCCAAAAACAAGACCCAGGGACCCGGCCGGGGGACAGCTGCATCCATGAGCTTTGAGTGCGCCAAATTGAGGACGAGAAGAGATGGGAACCGACATGGGAAGACGAAGAAGAATGATCGCTTCGTATTTCATAACCCAGAATATGAGGATCGGCACTTTTCAAATTGTACATGAGACGTCAATGAAATCAGGTCACGCATTTTGGGAGAAAAGACAGAAGAGGGAAAAATTGTCGGCCATAAACATAAGGATATTGGTTCTGGGCTTACTGAAAAACCGAAAAGCTTCAAATTACTTCTTTCAGGTATCACAAAAATAGAGCTTCCAGTAACTACAGTAACCAGGTCTACAGTAATCACTCGTATAGAGTGCCACCCAGACTTTGATCTCAGAGCCTTCATGTCTAATTTTCAGCAGAAGAAAGTGGTCAAATAACAAAATATTGGTGATATTATGCTCTTTTATTAAGAATGAGATAATTGAGTTCAAAGTTGACGGTTTGGGTGGCACTCTAATAGAGTGTTTACGGTACCTAAAACTTCCAGTAACTACAGTAACCCGATCTAAATACAATCTTAAAACTGTATATTGCAAAAAAGTTTCGATTTCAGTAGGGTAATCAAAAAACAAACTCTAGAATTTAAGAAGTTTAAGAGATATTGCCTAAAAGTTTCGGAAACTAGAACAGTGCTTTCAGAATTTGGGTTCAGCTATGAAACTTGAGAATCCGATTGAATTTGAAGGCATAATCGTTTTCATCTCGTTAAGATAGAACACAAAAACCAGTTCTTTCTAATTCTAAACTTCAAAATCAGGCCTAACTTTAAAAAAGATATTTAAGCTACTCTAGGAGAATACTTTCGCAATACCAATTCATTCTGAATTCAGTAGCTATAAGTCAAAAAATGCATAAAAATTCAGTCTCTCTCTCTCTCTCTCTCTCTCTCTCTCTCACTCTCTCCCAAATATCAAATTTCATAACTAGTTTCATTTCGAAATTGTAACAGATCCAACCCAAAAAGCAGTAGACAAAAGACTCTTCGATGCGCAACCAACTCCTCCTCCTACTCTTTTAACATAATGCACCGATAGATCTTCGTTAAAAAAAGAAGAGAAAAGAGTAAATAAACATTAGGAGGGAGGAAGGATCTCAACTAAAGTTGCGCTTCGCCAGATGCCTACTCTTTTTGTCACCCATTGAAACTTCTCTAAACCACCAAATGCTAATTTTTCTCACAATTTGCAACTCATATCTCTTTCTCTCTCCTCTTTTCTCATTCTCTACGTTCAATACTTCCACGCTACTCATTCATAAGTCATGGTCTCCCTTCTCTGGAAAGGAAAGGAACCAAAATTGCACTTCGCGCATGAATGGATGTGCTGGTTGACAGAGAGACAGAGGAAAGAGATGCTATCAAACGTCTTTCGGGGATTCTTTTCGCATCACCAAGTGATGCTCATTAATTTTGAGTTTCTCGGATTAATTGCTCCTCCCCCTTCTTCTTCCATTTTCATTGCAAAAGAGGACCAATGTCTAGGGACTCACTTGTCGGGATAGCCGTTCTGTGCACGACGAGTCATGTCATCGTACTCTTTCAGCTTCTCACGCATCTTCGCACACATCGCCACTCCAGCATCTGAAGCGTAGCCGCTGGATTCTGAAATAAGTTTGAGATTATGGAAGAGTAGTAAAATGAGGAGGCGATATTATGGTTTGTTCCTCAAGAGTACTCACGAATAAGAATACAGAATTTCTAGCTTTTGTACACTAAAAGGCACATGTTCCAAGTTATAGATAATGTGACATTTTGTTCAAAAACATGTGTAGCACTCGTCAGAAATAACTACAACTACAAAAACTGATTCGAAGGCGTGCTCATTTTTTTTCGTAATGAGACTTTGTTTTGTAGCTTTTGAGCATTTTCAACTGAAACTATAATGAGGATCGTCAACTTTTCTCACCTGAAGTCTTGTTCTTCTGGATTCTTCTCTCCATCGACGACTGCCCTGCTGACGTCTTCTGAACAGGTGGTGCCATCTGAACATGAGCAACGATGGAGTCTTCTGAAGCCGACGACTCGACTTGGTCATATCCTAAAACGGCCGTTTGTCAACAAAAACGGAAGAATAATTGGGGGAGAAAGTGGAGAGAGGGGGACTATGACTGACCGAACGACTTGACAGGAGATGTGATTTTTCCCTGTTTTACAAGAACATCGTAGGTTGGTGGCTGACGAATCGGAGTCATTTTTGGTGGAACTCGTTCCAAGGATTTCAGAGGAGTCGGTGGCGGTGGAAGATCACAATCAATGGACATGGATGAAATCTTCTCAGGATTCGGATCTACCTTTTCGGAAGGTGTCGATTCTGGATAGCAACAAGTTTAGAGGGTCTAGGAAACAAAGACGAAAAACTGCTTGGTCTCAATAGAAAAAGTAAACACGAAGGAAACAAACTAAAAATCACTAAAATCGGGTACACCTTCTGACTAATAATCCTAAAATTGCTTGGGTCAAACATCAGCATTTGGAATAATTTTGTCTTTATTCCCAAAAAAACTGACCACTCGGCAACTTCTCATGAGCCATAATCGGGCTGACGACTCCAATTGTTGGCTGGTTGGTCCGTTCAGGTACTGTAGGTGGAGGATCTTTCTTACTTGCACTAACACCTTTCACTGCGAGTGTTGGCTTCTCCTGAAATCATTTCATTTATAAAGTGTCTAAAAACGGGCATAGGGATAGGCAAATGAAAAAGAAGCATGAATCTGGGATATTCAATTTCAAGATTTTCGGAGTCTTCTTTTTTGAATGTTGTTGCAAAAACGATACGTTGGTTTCATTGGCCTTTCGAAACAGGAATTTTAACAAGAGCAACTTTGAATAGTTGGTTCCAGAATGCTGCCTTTAAAAACTTTTTAAGCTAAATGAGCTAATTTTTTACAGTTATCAAGTTACCGTACTTCCTCTAGCCCACCCAAACCGTCAACTGTGAACTCAATTATCTCGATTCCTGTTGAAGATATCAAAAATTTGTCAGCTGATAACATATTGTTTTTATTTTGATACTACTTTTTGAGCTTTATCAGTTGACATGTTTTTGATATCTTTAACAGGGATCGAGTTAATTGAGCTCAAAGTTGACGGTTCGAGAGGACTTCTAATGGAAGAAATACGGTAGTTTGTAAGGATCTATTGTTGTAAGGTTTAATGGAAACTTCTCAAATCAATGGTATTGTGAATGCTAATCTTTTTTTTCGTAATTCGAGAAACTATTATTCAAACCACTGGCTGCTACTGCACCAAAATTCGTCAAAACTGAAAATATCTTACCTCAACAGGTTTGCTGATAACTGGAGAAACTGCGCTGGTTGCAATCGGTTGTCTGATGGCTGTTACAATGGAGGCGTTGAGAGTAAGATCGTCCGACGACGGAGACTTTTCGTCCGATGTGGAGCTCTAGAAAAAAGTTTCATAAAAATGGTGACAGGTGGTCTCTAACATTTTGGACGTATACAAAAAATGAGACGGCAGGTGGTCCTTTTCTAATAAAAACAAAAATGTCTACAGTTTCCAAATCAAAACATACTGATTGAACTTTAAAAAGAGACAAACCTTGGAAGATGTGGAATGCATACTGAGAGATCCTTCTGTAGATGACGACGCTGGCGATGTGCTGTTGAATCCAGCGTATCCGGATTCTTCTTCACTACTTTTCGAACATCTTTTCGAGTCGGATTTTGTATGAAGAAGAGTATCGGGCTTACGGTATGATACTTTGGGCTGAAAGAATCGAAGAATATAGAAGAGATATCACGTTTTTAGAAAGTTTCAGTTTCCAGATTTCTCGAAAAAGACCACCTGGGCATTTTTCTCACTCTCGACTTGAAAAAAAACAGAGTGCTTAGCTGAAGAAATTAGAAAAAAAACAACACATCGTATTTCGACTTGAAGTGCTTCTTCCTCTCTATTACTACTGCTACACACATACACATTTCAATTTGCTCTTCCTCTTTTTCTCACTCATTTTGAAAAACGAAGAGCAAAAAGCTGAGAAATTGCTCCGGACGACGCGTCTCCAGATGTGTTTTTTTCTTCCGCGCGAGCGTGCCGCTTTGAAAAAATGCCCCCAGAAGACATCCACGAATATCACTTCCGTTGCAACATTTTTGAGAAAAAAAGAAAACGAGGGGCGACAAAGTGACGCTTAGAAGTAGACGAAGCCGACTAGTTTATCGGGATGAAGAGGAAGAACAAAAAGAGAATGGAAAAGAAGTTTTGTGACACGCAATTCCCAATTGTCTCATCATTTTTATTAGTAGGTTCGAGGGCCTGAGCCTGAGATTTCTGAGATTTTTGTTCCAAAAAGGATAAGAAAATGCTTCCAAATATAAGTTCGGAAGTTGAATATTTGAAGGGTACTGTAAATAGGAGTGGACACATTCAAAATTCCGTTGAAATAATAGAAGGGCCCCCATATTGTCAAGTTTGGGCTAATTTTTCTTGACCCCTTTAAGAGATATCAAAAATTTGTCAACTGATAAAATGTTTATGATATTATGATAAACAAATTATCAATGGACAACTTTTCAATATCTTTGACAGAAACCGAGATAAATTGGCTCAAAGTTAAACGTTGGGGAGCTCTTCTATTACAAGTCTTACGATATTTCCTATGAAATTTGAAACTTTCAAAACATTCCATTACAGGAAATAGTTTCACAAACTCACAGTGCAAAGCTTGGACATAGATGTGGCGCTTCCCAATTTATTGGTCGAACTAGTCGGAGGCTTCAATCCAGTTTTCACAGGAGCCGCGATTTTGGACTGCTCAGCCTTTCTGAGTGGCTGTGGACTGTTATTCGAAGACGATGCGTTCTTGCTGCTAAACAATTTCAACTTCAACATTCCTCCAGAATTATCGTGTTCCGTTGTCGTTGTTTTGATAGTCTTGACGGATGCAAGCTTCGGAGTACTGACGGCTTTTGGAGCAGCCAACTTGGAACTTCCAATCTTTGTAGTCGTCGCCACTCGGACTTGTTGTGTTTGTAGTCGCGACGTTGGCTTCTGAATTTGAGATGAAGGCGTTGGACGACTGAGATTGGATATGGAGCTGTAGGCAGAGGAGGAGTCTAGAAAGGGATTACAAATTTGCATAAATCCTAGGTTGTTGAGGTGTGTACCTAAGCTTCTGGCAGATGTGGATATCGTCGAACCAACATTGTTATTACCACTTGATCGGCTCGACGGACGAAATGAATTGATATTTGTGTTAGAAGACGTCGTAGATGGAGGTCTGAGTCCTGACGTCGTCTTTGGTTTGATTCCAATCTTTGTCGAATCTGAAAACATTTTCGGTTTTTTTTTCACTGAAAGAGAAAATCCGTTTCGCTTTCCAATCTACATCGCCATATTTTAATTTGGTGTCCGTTTCCGCCCAGGCGGTTAGATAAGCACGTAAACAATCGTAGTTGGGTTTGGAAAAGGAGAAGAAAAGTCGAGAAAAAAGAAGAAGAGGTTTTTGAAAAAGTATTCACAAAACAAGTATGATGATGAAGTATGGGGAACGAAAGAAGGGAATTTGAGAAGAACGGAAGAGCGGGTTTTCATTCTCTCACGCCTAGAGTCCTAAAAAAGTGACCAAGATACTTTTCTTATATAGACACATTTTTATGTGCCTTTTTTTAGTTTTTTTGAGCCAGAGCCAGGGAAGTGGCGTTTTTAGGTGGGAAGGAATTGGGGAAAATAAAAGGTCTCCGCTTTTTGAGTGGAGTTGGACAAAAGAAATATTCAAATAGATAAAGTAATATCTGAGTTTTAAAACCAACTAGAAATACTATTTTGGGATCAACCATGGAACTAAAGTGGCTCAATGAAGACAAAATAGTCAAGGGGATCAAAAAACTGAAAAAAAGCTACCGTATTTTATCTACAAGAAACCCATCCACTTCTTCAACTTTGAGCTCAATTATCTTGATTCCTGTGTAAGATATCAAGAGTGTGTCTAGTGATAAAGTATTGGTGATATTATGTTAATCAGTTGACTACTTTTTGATATCTTTCACGTGAATTGAGATAATTGAGCTCAAATTTAACAGTTTGGGTGGCATTCTACTAAAGAAAATACGGTATATGCTTAGCAAAGGTATTCAGAGAAATCTGCTGCAACAGATTTTTTTTTTCAGAATACGGCATATGATCCCAAAATTATATTTTTAGAAAACTAGGTGAATCCCATTATTTCCTAATTTACAGGAAGAAGGATCCTAAATAGTAAGCAACAACAACAACAACACGGGAACCCAACTAGCATTGCTCCACAGAGTCGGAAACTGAATGAGTGGAATAGGAAAGAGCGCATAAAACCCGACATTAATTGTCAGTGATGACCAGAAGTGGTGGAAGAGAAGAAAACTCATCGGAATTGCAAGTTGAGAAATAGAAGACGAAGGATGGGCGGCTCTATATATATATTCTTTTCTTTTCCTTCGGAAGGACAAGTAATTGGCTTGCTCTCATTCGAATTAATTGACCGTCTCCCACCACCACCGACAAATGTTTATAAGCAAAACGAGGGAGAACAAAATTGGAAAATTGTTGTTGTTGTCCTTGGCTAGAGAGAAGACAACCTGTCTGTCACTTAGTCCCAAGAATACTTTTCCACGTCATTTAGCGGCTGTACATAAGCTAGTTAGCTTATGGATGGACAACTGACCTGGTTTCGATATTCGAGATTGTGGAGTCTGAAGACGTGACGTCGACATTTGAGTAAAATTTGAATTAGGATTAGATGCTGGAGGAACACGTGGAGATGGTAACCTGGAATATGGGATACTGTAGAAAGAATATTCTGGAGATTATAAAGAAACTATATCATAGTTTTTTTTCTTTTCTTATGGAAAAAAAGAATGAATGAATTGGAAAGAAAGATTGTTTTGTGTAGGAGGGAAAGAGTAAATAATGTTCTTTTTTGTAAGAAAAAACGATCAAAAACTGGCTAAGGGGAGCAACAAAGGAAAAGAGAGTTGATGATGAAATCAATGGGTAAACGACCACAATTTAGTAAGTCATTTAGAAATACATTATCGTAAAACCTGTAATAGAAGGGCTCCACCATATCAAATTTGAGCTTAATTATCTTGGTTCTTTCAAAAGATATCAGAAATATGTCAACTGATTGGTTATGTTATGGTAAACAATTTATCAGTTGACAAATTTCTCGAATATTCCACAGGAACAGAGATAAATTAACTTGAAGTTAAAAGATAAAGGACCCTTCTATTACAGGTTTTACGGTCGTTTTTGATAGTTTTAGGAGAATTGGAAAAAGAGGAAAAAGAGCTCTTAAAAGTTTACATGAAAATTCTAAAAATTTTAACTACAAAAATTGAGCCATACTTTCAAAGTTTTAGAAATTTTATTATGGAAATTAGCGGAATTGGAGAAATGGTTAGACCCAGTTCTAATAATTTTTTGCGGAGAATATCAACTTGGTCCCACATATTTTTAAAGTTTTAAACTTTTTTGTAAAACTATAATACTCTATATGTAGAGCTCTGATTTTGTTTGCCCTGGTTTTTTATTTTTCCTGTAAATTGGGTAAACATTAATCACTTTCCAAGACACTGGAACTAACTGAATGATTTCTTTTTTTAGAATGCCAACTGTATTTCGAATGAATATACGAAATATGTAAGCTAGGATATCCAAAATTAATCACTTCGATGTTCAAACATTTCTTTATTAAAAAACTCACTTGGATACCGCTGGTGGCATGATGGCTGTCGTTGTTGTTGTTACCGGGAGCTGTTCCAACTTTTTCTGATCCTTTTTCAGTTGCCGAAGCTTCTGTTTGTAAGAGGAAAGAAGAAAAAGGAGTTGAAGAACTGCTCCCAAGTTACCACTGTCGATATCTGCAGTACAGGGTATCAATGAATGGAAGAATAGCTAGCGAGAGAGGCATGTTTTTGGAACGAAGTGAAAGCCAATTGAGGCAGACCAAAAAAGGGCTCTATTCTGAATGGGCAAACGATGTGTGTATGTTTGTATATGTGTTCTTCCAAAAAAAAGTATTGCCTTCTCCTCAAAACTGAATTGAGTTTTTTGTCCACCTCCTCTTTTCCCGAAATCGTTTAGTTTCGTACAGTCCTTTAGGAGAAAAACGATCCGACATGTGGGTAAGAAGAGCGAATAGAGATAGTAAAGTGTGGGAATATTTAGAGAACTTGTGTTAGAAACATGACATCTTCTAAAGTTTTCGGTCTAATCTCATAGATCCTCACAACGGCTATGCAAAATAAGATTTTTCAAAAACTTAACAGTTTGAAGTTAAGGGCCATATTTGAACAAAAGTCTTATTTTCCCTTCTGGATGTTTTGGTATCATTAGACTGCTCTATAGACAATTTAGGAGCCGTTCAATAACTGAAAACTGGAACTCCTCGTTTTTAGAAATAACTCCGAATAAAGGGATTCAGAAGTTTTGACCAGAAGTTGCCATATTTTTGGAATCGTTTGCCAGATGGATATGTTTTGCCAAAAAGGCGCGAGAAGTGATATAAATCATCAGGACATGCGAAAGTGATAAATTCAAGAAAGAAGAGGAGAGAAAGCGCAAAGCGAAGGCGCGAAAAAAAAGGAGAAGAAATGTAGGAGCCTTGCCTGCGCGAGAGACGAGAGCGACGCCTCATAAATGTAAATGGTATCGTGTGAAAATGAAATTTTGGAGGAGCAGGAGAATAGGAAAACGAAGGGAAGCCATGAGACGATGGGTCCCAAACGACCTCTGGATTTTTGTTTTTTTTTTGCGAAGACTCAAGATTATGTTATTGAAAGAGTCGAAAAGAAGAAATCTGGGAGGAAAGAATAATTGTGGAGAGTGTAAATTAGGTAACAGATGTGTTTTCTTTTTTTTCTAAACAAACTCCCTCAAACACATAAAAATAAGAGGAGTTAAAGATCCTAAAGATCCCAAAAAACTGACTTCTCGATTCGGTTCATTTGAATTCTCAATGGAGCGAACATGCCAAAGTTACGGTGGGATGAACAATATAAGAATTAAACTTGGAACAAGAAAACGGGGGAAAAGGGGATTACAGCGGCTAGAAAAAGAAAGGGAAATTTAATTTTGTGGGTTTCGTAAAATAGTGTTCATGTTGCGAAATGAACGGATGGGGAAGGTGAATTTGAATTTGAATTGAGAGTGCTTAAAACGAGAAAGGGGTACTGTAGCTCTATTGAAGTTAGAATAAAAACGGTAAATAGAAAAAACTTATCAAAATGTCCTGTTTACAGCTTTGGAGTGCATATTCGAAACGCATAATTGTGTGAATCAAAGATAGTAAATTTTGAATTCCAATTCAAAGTTTTTGGAAAAATATGAAAAAAACCGACGGTACTAAAAATCAAACTGTGAACACTCTAATAGCCCCAAACCGTCATCTTTGTGCCTATTTATTTCGGTTCTTGTAAAAGATATCAAAAAGTGGTCAACTAGCAAAATATTGTGCATATCGTGAACACTCTAATAGAACGCCACCCGGATCGTCTACTTTGAGCCTATATATCTTCCTTCTTTTGAAAGATATCAAAAAGTTGTCAACTAATAAAATTTTTTATGATATCAGCAACATTTGATTAGTTAACCACTTTTTGATATTTCTCACAGAAAATGAGATAAATAAGCTGAAACTTAAGGATTCGGGTAGCGTTCTATTAGAGTGTTAACAGTATTTTAATAAACATTTCATTAGTTGAATACGTTTTGATATATTTTTCAGCAATCGAGATATATGGGCTCAAAGTTGGAAATTGAGGTAGGACTCTATTCGAGTGATAAAAATGTATAACTTCGATATTCCATTAATTCAAATCTCACTGAATTGAAGCCAATTTGTCAATTTACTTTTTCAAAAACTTTAGACCTTACAAAATTAAAAAAAAAACAACAATATAATTGTCTTATCTCCTGGTTTAGAATCACAAATGACCTAACTAGTATATCAAGCCAGAGATGTACACACGCGACGGTAATAAAATTACTAGAGAAACAGTAATAACAATTGAGAGAAGTCCTTCGTCTTTCCCATCACTATATCACGAAAAGGAGATTATTATCAGTTGATCTTCCCTCCATTCGAAGGTTGCCTTTCCGAGAGGAGTTACGGAAAACCAAAAGCGATTGCGCGAAAAAAGTTGAGAGGTTGGAAAAAAGATGAAACGAGACAAACCGAAAAGTAATTACCCAGAATAGGAAGCGGTTGTCGCGGCGCCCGACCTCAAAATCAAGATGAGGCAAGATAAGGATCTTTCAGAATTCCGACGGTTACACAGTCCCTCCTTCTTCAGAGTTAACCTCGATTCAATAGAAAAAGAGAGAGCGATGGGATTATATGAAACAGCCGGCTGTCGATTGACAAACACCTGCTGGAGGGCTCTCGAAATGAGTGCCATACGGTTTTGAAGCGAAGGATTCCGGAAAAGGGAACAGGTGTAAAGAGCCGAAGAGAGATAACAGATTGATGTGTTGGTATCGGGATGAGGGAGAGACATCAATTTACAAAAGTGTTTGCATTTGAAAAACGGAGAGATTAGAATCGATGGTATTAGTAATAGATACCGTTATGTAGATATGAGAATAAGATTGAGGGAGGATGAAAAAAAACTGTTGGGTGATTGGAGTAGTATGAATCATAGTTTTATTTGAACATGCTGAGATCGCAATGGAACAAGGATCTTGAAAGTTAAAGAAGACAAGAAAGTTATCATTCATGATCAACAAAACGAGTTTTTATATTTCGAGAACATAAGGCCCGAATCCGCAAATTTCGAATTCTCAGAATTACGATCTCGAGACTGAGATCTTAGCAAAGTATAATTTGAGATTGACAAATTCTGAAAATATCAGATATACTGAAACTTTTAATCTGAAAAATTAACAGGGACTATCCTAGAAATATGGAACCCGCCGATCCAAAATTCGGAAAACACAATAAGATTCGAAGAGCTATGATTAGAATACATAGAACAAGGATCTTGAAAGCTAATATTTTAGATCTGCAAATTAAATGTTTAGATTTCAAGGTAACGTATTCACATCCTAGACTAGCCAGAGCTCAAAATCAATCACTAATACTTTAGAATTCAGAAAGTTCCCACTTTCACAATTTTTGAATTCCCAGAGTCGCGATTTTGAGATTCAGAGATGTAGAAAACCGAAATCTGAGATTTCGAAAAACTGGCAATCTCCAATTCACAAAAACTTGGAATCTGGAAAACCAATGTTCCGGAAGAGGGATAATTTCATAAATATGGAACTTACTAATCCAGAATTCTAGAATCACAATAAGATTCTATGAGCTATCACCTCAGCTCCTATATTAAGAAGTCCAAAAATTTCAAACTTTAAACTTTATGATGTGTCACAGTAAGAAAGGAGTCGAAAACTCGTATTTCTTCTGAAAGTGCTTGGAAAACAATGCTGTCAACACTTGGCGCATCGTGAGTCACTTGGAATGTGACGAAATGCGGTCATGCTCTCAAAAAAAGAACGAAACCATTTAAATGCAAATGGTTTTTTTTTCCAGGATGAAGAGGAGGAAAAGAACGATTCAATTCAAAAAAAAAAGAGAACTGCCTGTGTGGGCGGAGAAAAAGTGACCGGAACTTGTTGGATTAAACCTCCTCTTCAAAAACTGTGTTCATATACATAAAAACCGTATTTGACGATAAAAATAAAGAAGAAAAAGAGGATTGGAGGAAAAGATGTAAAAAAGTTTCTCGCCTCCTCCTTCATTCTCTCTTTTACAACTACATGATAGGCTTCAAATCGAGGACAAGAGAAAATAGGAAATGGAGCAAAAATTTGAGGTTTTTCTTCAACGAAAGAAGATGTCCCATGAGGATAAATGAAGGAAAATGAGACATATATTCTGAAGAGGAAAAGAAGACTCTCAAAAAAGTGTTGGTGTCACATCCGAAAAAAGAAATGGAGAATTTGAGAATCGGATGAGAGTGTATAGTTTTGATACGAAAATTCTCTGGAAAAAACTAACCGGTTTTTGTGAGTTTCGAGCAGTCGAGACCGAGGTTTTTCAGGTAGTCGAGGCACGTTTCGAGACCATCTAGCTGAAAAAAAAGTAAATTTTTTGGTGGATTTCGATAATTTTTGAAAAGAAAAAAGGTTTCAGTTTCTAATTCCGAAGCTACTAACACTATGAAATTTTAAAATCCTATGATCCTAAGATCATCAGATTCTCATATTCTCAGACACAAAGATTCTGAGATCTTGAGATTCTTAAAATCAGGTTTTGTATCCTCAAATCTTGCTTTTCAGATCATCAAGACCATCAGATCCTCAGATCCTCAGATCCGCAGATCCGCAGATCCTCAGATCCTGAGATCCTCCACTTCTCACGATCAGATTTTCAGATCCTCATATCCTCTATCCTCAATCCTCAGATCAACAGATCCTGAGATAATGAGATCCTCAGAATCTCAGATCCCCAAATTTTCAGATTCTCAGAAGCTCAGAATCTCAGACTTTCAGATTCTCAGAATTCCAGGTTCCAAAAATTACAGGTTCTCGGATCCTCAGATTCTCAGATCATACAGAGATTCAACATCTCAACAATTTCAGAACTCAAAAAGTGTCCACAGAACTTTGAACCTTATAGCCCTATTACTTCTAAACCTACGAAGGAAAACTTTTTGACAACGGAATGTCTAAAAATTGAGAAATGTTGTCAACTATGTTTCTGGTAGGGGATGTGTTGTTGTGTCATCTCTCTGATGACAATGAAATACATGTAAATATTTGATGCGACGTCATCTTCTCATTCTTCCGGAATAAGAAAACGAAGGGCAACTGGAAATGGGAGTTTTTGGAGGAAAGAAAAGTTTCAAAGGGCGAAAGTTTCTTAGGGAGAATGGGACATTTTATTTTCAATGAGTTGAAAGATTTTATTTTGAAAAAAGATGAAAGGGTGGCGAAAGGAGAATGTTTGTCTTTTGAAATGGAAAAGATTTTTGTAAAAGTCGAAACAATATTTTTCTAAAAAAAACAAGCTCGCTTCTTTAGAAAACTATGAAATCTACCGGTTGGGGAAGTTGTTTAAAAAAAATTAATCAACTGATAAATTACTGCTGATATTATGATAAACAATTTATAAGTTGACAAATGTTTGATATCTTTCGCAGGAATCGAGATAATTCAGCTCAAATGTGGCGGTTCGCCTGATCTTCTATTAGAGGAAATACGGTCTCTATAGAGAAGTCAAAAAACCATTTCATGTAGAAAGAATATAACTGTGATGTGGACTTATTGAATAATTCATGAAATATGCTAATTATTGGAATCGCTGATTGCTCTGATCTAATTTATTAGAAAGATCAGAAATTACTTTTAATCAAACAATCGTTAGAATCAGTTTAGAGGTTTTATTGAGAGACTTTAACTCAAATTCGAAAGACATCCAGAAAAATTCTGATGCAAAGACTCTGGAGTTGAGAAAAAGGAATATCCAGAAGTCAACCAAAATGTGTGTTGATCACTGTATGAAGCTTTTCGGTTAATTTTCGTCACGGTTAGAATTATGTTACGCAGCCGCCGAATTGATGAGTGATTTGCATGTACATGTTGCCATCAGACAAACCGAAGTCACGGTCGATTAGGAATCATTCGATAAATCCCATCATCAAAAGGAGGATTACGTCAATTCAAGATAATCAACATCCGAAATTTTGGGGACTGGTGGGGAAATTTTGAATGACATGAGAAACGGAAAGAAAATTGTTTGACAATAAGACATTTTAGAGGTAGCAGTAGTAGTTTTTGTTTGTTCTAGGTGTGACTCACTGATATCGTGATGAAATTTGAAGGAAACATTAAAAACTTACATTCGATGTGATTTTAGCCAATCTTTTGGTGTATGTAGGCGAGTATTCGTTGATTGGAACTGCAAATTTAAAAGAGATTAGGAGGAATAATAAATAACAGAATGTAGGGGGAGAAGCAGTTGGTGCGAACAGAGATAGGAGAAATTGAATTTAATGTGTTAAAATACTGATAACAATCATCAATAGTGCTCTTATCATATCATTTCTCTTTCCGGAAGTTGTGTTTTGTGGTATATGAGAAGGACCAATTGCACTTGTAGTGGTGGGAAGGAAGTTTTGAGATGAATGAAGATGACAGATATCCCTCTCTTTTCTCTTCTTTCACAGGATATCATTCAAAGACAATTGTTGTTGTTTTTGTTTCTTTTTTTGCTCCCAGTGGAAGGCAAAAAACTGGAGCAGAGCTTTTTATTACTGGGAACTTTCGAAAAATGGTAATTCTCCGAACTTTCGAAAATGGTAATTCCACTTCGGTAATTTTGAATGGAATGGTAATTAAAAAATACTGACTTTTAAAGTTTAAACCTAATTTTGGCCTAATTTTTTAAACATAGGTGCTCAAAAATTGGAACGTCCAAACACGATCAAACACTAATCTGATTTTCGAAAAGTTTCTGTAGTTTTAAATGATTTTTTGGATACTTTCAACTTTCAGGTTTTTAAAAAGATATTTGAGTTGAATAAACTCTTGCAACTATTGTAAGCATGGACTAGGAGAAAACTAGAACTCAGCAAAATGTTGCGACATCCAGAACACTTTCAACAAAAATAAATGACTCAAAAGATCAAAAGACTCTAGGTCATAAAATCTTATCGAATGTGCGCCAGAAACGTAAAGTGATTTGATTCCCAAAATTTCATGTGAAACATGAATCCTGATCTCTTTTTCCCTCCTTGAGGACCCCACTCTTCCGAATCGTTTTCTCCCGTCGTGTTCCATCTCTTCTTCTCTATTCATTTCAAATATTCTCATAATATTCACTCATTTAAACAAACTAAAAAGTGATTGGAAATGAATTGGAAAACGAAGAGATTCCTCCGAGAAGAAGAAGAAAAAGAAGAAGAAGAAGAAGAAGATGAGCGAACTACTACTGGACACACAAACACTAACTGAGCAGATTGATGGATACAAAGAGCGTAATACCGATAAATCACCAATTAACTCGGTCGCCTTGGGGTGCTGACGAACGAAAAAGCAGCGAGCAAATTTGTTGAAGAGAAAGAAAAATTTTTGGAGAAAGAAGAACAAAAAGAATCACTTTTCTGTTGCTACTGTCGCGACACGACTTCATGGAAACAATTAACTCATTTATCAAAATGATTCAATTTTGGAGGAGGAGTGTTCTTTTGGGAAAAATACCAAAATTTTGGATTTTTACTGGGCAAGATGCGCGAAAAATAGGATGATAGTTTTTGGGTTCGTAAGAGAGAAAAAGAGATGCTCTGGGATCTATCGGGTTTCAATTAGAGGGATGGAAGTGAGAAAATATATTGGTGACAAGTACACTCTAGGAAAATATTTTAGAGTTTGAAATTGGAGATTTTCAGAAATTTAGAAATTTAGAAATGCAAAAAGTGCATAAAAAACTTAATGTAAAATTTTGGTAAATTATCACTTTTTCCTAGGAAGAAATTCACCAAAACACCGTAAAACCTGTAACAGATGGGCCCCCACACTGTCAAGTTTGACTTAATTTATCTCGGCTCCTGTGACAGATATGAAAAAGCGGTCAACTAATAAAATATATTCGATATTATAATAAACATGTTGTCAGTTTATTACTTTTTGATATCTTTTACAGAAAACGAGATTTACGGGCTCAAAGTTGGAAGTTGGGGAGTAAGAATGTTTACGGTATCCTTTTTCCAAGAAAGAAACTCGTCCAAATAAGTGAGAAGCTAAAAGATTTCACTCTAGAAAAACATCCAAAAAGGGGTTTCGAAACTGTCCAAAACCCCGAAAATCCTAAAAAGAATAAAACATGCAACACTAAAAATTCGTTGCTGACCTTGACCGAGACTGATTCATATTTCATAGACTTTACGAAATTTATTGGTCTGGAGATGAGGGGTAATTTTGGAACGTTTTTCTGACACAAAACAAAAACTGAAGTTTTCGAAAAATCTTCTTAATTTTTTGTTACATCAAAATGCTTTGCAAATTATGTATTTTCCGAATATTTTTCAGAACCAACTCCTTTTAAAATAGAAAAAGGAGACGAAAAAGGACGAGGATTTGAGCTTCGAGAAACCTAGGCCGCGGAGCAGAACGCCTGTTTCAAATGAGCATTTTTTTCCGCTTTTATAGTACTATTTCCAGAAAATAGAGCTAGTCTAGGTTTGAGAATTACTCCAGAAAATTCTGGACACCATATAAAAAATTTGCGCCGCCCAAATTTGTAAAGTTTTTGTGTTCAGTTTTTTGGTCAAATGTTCATTCCAATGCTCATAATGTAACCATTAACAGCTGTAAGTTTGTTCTCCATCTCCTCTTCTTCTTCCAACGAACACCTGTTCATCAAACTGGCACCCTTCGGACAGACTGACCAGTGAAATTTGATACGGAAACGAAAGGGATGAGTCGAAAACAAGATCTCCAGTTACGATTTGAGCACATCTTATCATTAGTGAAACAAATTGAGAGAGAGAGAGAAAAAAGTGATGAAGTGAAAAGGCTGGACACATTCTCGGAGGGCAGCAGTAGAAAAGAAGTGACCAATTATTACATTTAACGAACCCTACGGAAAGCCCTCCCGGCTTCTCTTTATCTTCTCAAATCAGTTTCAACGAGGAGAGAAACTCATATATTTGAAACGGGGAGGAGAGAAAAAGGGGGGACATTAAACTCTCGGCGCCCATTCTTCTATCTTTTTCTTTTCCGCTTTCAACTGGACGGGGACAATTGTTCCAAATGGGCTCCCGATCCTCAATTTATGAGAGCCTTGAATTTTTGTGTTCTTTCGATAAATGCCGCTGATCATTTATAATTTAACAGTTGGTTTATGACACTAAAAGGAGCCGGAAAGATTTCAATTTTCACTTTTGTTGAAGTGATTTTATTAGCCAATTTTTGGATATTGGGAACATATTTTTGTGGGAATCAAGAAAGATCAGCTTAAGACATTAATATTAATGTTACTGTATTACCGTAAAACCTGAAATATAGGACACACTGACCTGCCAAGTTTGAGCTCAATTATCTCGGCTCCGAAAAGATATATTAAAAATGTGTCAAATGAAAAAAATGTTTGTGATAGTGTGATAAATAGTTTATCAGTTAACAACTTGCCCTTATCTTTAACAGGAACCGAGATAAAGTCGCACAACGTTGAAAATTAGGAACCCTTCGGTTACAGGTTTCAGAATATCAGAATAAATTCTATTTTTCTCTCCACTTTTTTCAAAATTCTTCCAATCTCAATCAACTCACCTATAACATTAATAAGTTGAGAGACGAGTCGATAATCGCGAAATTCATTCGAAATATCCCGAATCGGCCTGGATAGAGCTCCCTTCGAAAGGTGCCGATTGGCCCAGTCGGTGTAGATCTGAAATATGTAATTTATTTGAATTGTGACAATTTCTTTGCGGATTCAAGACCCTTATTTTGAAATTTTTTAGGTAATCAACCCAAAATCTGTTCTATTTTCCCACGAATCCTCAAGTGCATCAAAATGGTTTCAACACACACAATAATAATGTTGTTTCTAATATATCACAGCGTCATTCTTTTCCTCTTCAAACCCATCTCTCATCGAACGTAACAATATAATTGTTGGTCCTTTAACAGAAGAGGATGCCTCTTCATAATACGGGAACATCTTCCTTCTTGTCCAGCTGTGCGCGAAAAACTAGAGAACAATTGAAAATTAGGAGGAGAAGGAGAAGATGATGATGACTAAGAAAAAGTACTCATGAGACGAAAACTGTTAGGCTTCTGACTTTTTATTCTTGGACAGGACGTGTGAAGGGTTCCCACACTGGCAAGTTTGAGCTTAATTATCTTAATCCCCATACAAGATATCAAAAATGTGTCAACTGACAAAACACTTTTGATATTATGATAAACATTTTATCAGTTGACAACTTTTTTATATCTTTGACAAAAACTGAGGAAAATTGGCACAATGTTAGAGGTTAAGGGGTCCTGCTATTCAAGGTTTTACTTTTGATGCCCGCAAGTGAATCTGAAAGTCAAAAAATCTCAACATCGAAAACAATATTCTAGACAAATGAGGGAACGTATTCTCAGACGGCCTTGAATACCAAGCGGTGCTTTGCATCTATTCTACTTTTGCTTTCTTCCATAAGTTCCTGTATCACTTCAAATTGTACAAAAAGTATGTTCCTATTATATTTTTTTCAATTTCTCAGAAAAAGATGGCATCTTTACGAGTCATAAATTTTATAGACTGACTACTGGACGCTAAAACTAAAATGGCGGAATGCTAAACTGCTCCATCCATTTTTTTTGCTCAGCTCAAAAAAAATGGACCCAAATTGGGCGAAAAAAAGGACGACTTGAAAAATAGTCAAGGCTTGTTAGTGTGGTCCGAATGTTTGGTTTGGGTATGACAGAGAGAGAGAGAATACATGGAAATCTGAGTATATCTCTCTGTTCTGGGTGAACATATGTGCTCCCCCAAACATGAACAATATGGACTCTCGGGGATGCTTGAAATGCAACACCTTGTACGGGAATAAACACATTCTGGTAGGAAGAAACGAAAGCTAACAAATTTGATTGGTTTCTGAGAGGAAGAGAGAGGAGAGTATCTATGAGAGTATGAACTAATAATAATAATAACAAGAAGAAGCATGGAAGGAACTAATGAAAAGGAATGTTGCACCCAGAAGCAAAAGAAGAAGAAGAAGAAGAAGTAGAACAACATTCACTGAATTTGTGAAGATACCAATGTCAAAAGAATGGGAAACAGACTCCTTCACGAGAACATAGGAATACAGAAATACGACTCCGCGTCACTTCGAAACTGCGATAATTCGAAATCAGTCATTTCGAAACCGTGGAAATACAGGCGCATGGATAAATTCAGACTACAAAAAAAAAATTGTAAAATTCAGACTACATAAATTCAGACTACAGAAACAATCATTGGGTTTACAAAATAGAACGCATTCTGAAATTCGAAAAAAATAGCTTTGAAAACAATAAAATTTTGGATTTTTTTCGAATTGCAGAATGGGTTCTATCAAGAAGTGCATATTTGAAAACCCTATGATAGTTTTTTAGTCTGAAAATTATCTATTCGTCGGTATTACCATGATTTCGAAATGAATGGTTTGACGCGGAGCTAAAAATTTAGCCAAAAAAATTTAAGTTTTACTCGGTTTTAAAAAAGTAATATACTCATATTCGTGGCTGAAATTGCTGAAGCTAATATTTTAGCATCGCAGTAATTCTGTAATCTTGAAACTTATATTTCAAACCCAAAGTGCAAAGTATAAAGAATCCAGGAATCAACTAGCATCTCTGTGAACGATGGAAAAGTGGGGAACTCATTGCCGAAGAAGCCTCGACTCTGTTCATCGAAGGTGAATTCCCTGGGCGACGAGAGAATGTGTGGGACGAAGAGATTTAGATGAAATGAAGATAAGAATGGAAAAGGAGGAGGAGAAGCGAAATCTTCGTGGAAGAAGAGAAATAGGAGAATTAATTGGTTTGATGGAAGACGACAGGAGCCAGAAGACATCTTCCAGATTGCTATACGAAGTTTTTCAGTAGAGGGATTGCTAACCTTTACCGAATCCAAGTTGCTGGCGGCGGAATTCATCCGCGGAAGAGTATCCATCCTGAATCCACATGCACAACGAGTGAGAGAGGAAGAATCCTTCAATTCATATTAAGCCACGCCCCCTTAGTCTCACACCCAGCTGCGCGGGAAAATAAGAATCAGTGGCACACACCCCAAGGCCTTGACAACACAGTTAGTTCAGAAACAGAGAATTGGAACACCCAAACCCAAATGAGCTAATTATACACTGCTTCTTCCATTCTTTCTGTCTCCACCTCGTTGTGAGCATTAACACTGGATTACGTTGGAGGAGGAAGAAGGGAATGGGACGACTCCTTCCGTTCGGATGGAAGCGGTAAACATGCGGATATGGAGAGATGTGCACTGATTTGAATTAACTGAGAATAAGAGAGGGGGCACCCTTCGAAAATAGAATGGTAATTATGTGGAGAAGAAGTGCGAATTCATAAAATTCGCGGATTTGCATTTTCAATCTTCAAGATGAGAGAGATTGATGGACTTCGAATAGTGTCAATATGAAGATTTTTAATTTTCTAAAGGAACATTAGAACCTAAAAATCCTGAAATTTTCGAAATTTCCGAAATACAAAATTCCGAAAATTCCAGAAATCTAATAACTCCAAGAATCCAAAAAATCGAAAAATTCCAAAATTTTCAAAACTTCCGAAAGTTAAAAAAAAAACTTTGAAAATCCTGAAATTTATTTCCGAAATAGAAAAAAATCTGAAATTTTCGAAAATATCCAAGTTCCAAAAATCCGAAATATTCCGAAAACTCCGAAAGTTCCAAAAAATTCAAAATTTCAAATTATCCTGAGAATTTCAAATATTCCAAAAACTTCGAAAATTAGAGAACATTTTGAAAATTTCGAAAAATCAAAAGAAAATTGAAAATTTTAAACATCCTTAAATATCCCAAAAATCCTGAAAATTTCAAAATTTCAAAAACTTCGGAGAATTTCAAATATTAAGAAAACATCGAAAACTTCAAAAAATTCCGAACTTTCAAGAATGAAAAAATTCCAAAATTTAAAATATTCCGAAAAATCTAAAAATCCAGAAAATTCAAAACAAATCCAAAAACTTTTAAAATTTTCAAAAAATTAAAAATCCTTAAAATGCCAAAATTTTATTTTTTCCAATACTTAATTTCATGGACATATGAATTCAATAATGTTAAATTGTAATCCAAAATGCAAATTTTTTTCAAAATACGAAATAATCAGAATTTAATCTAGCTCATTGAAGATCTGATTAGGGAGTTAATTTTTTGTAGCTTTCAATTCAGAACTCTTTTACTTATTATAATTTTCGAATATTTGTACTTTCGAAATTCAGCTTCAAGATCTCTCCAAAACTTTATGCTTCATACCATTTTACCCATTTCTTACTCAATTCAAAACTTTTCGAATCATGATCCAAGTATTACGAAACGCTCTTGAAATGCATATCCTCTCTCAAAACTTCTTCGTCTTCTTTTTTCACTATTTTTCTATTTGCATGTTTCGGAACGAAGTCTCAAAGCAATGCATATGTGATGACGTGGTGTGTGTTTGACATGAATTGAATACCATTTCAAAACTTAACTTTGTGCTTCTTCTACTGGCTCCCGTCCCATTCTTTCCTTATTCAAGAAGATAATTAGTTTTCGGGAGAGGGGAGTTCCCCTCCTTTTTCTTCTTTTCGTCGCGTTTTAATTGGTATGCGGTGAGCAGAGCATCTTCTTCTTGTGTCCTAATAATCAGAACGGACACACACAAGTGCCAGAGAATGAAGGCGTTTCGCGCCCATAATTGAATCATTTCGTTTTGCATCACACCAATTGAAAATGAAGAAGAAGGAGGAGGAGCACTTTTCGAACGATGCCTTTCACCTCTCCAGAATCATATTTCGAAAGAAGGACGGAAATAGAACGGAAATAAGGAAAAGAAAGAAGAGTCAAAAGAAGATTGAAAGCTTCTGGAACGAGACGATTATTCAAATGAAATCTGGAGAAAGAGAGGGAGAGAGTCGCTTCTGGTTTTCTGAAGGGCTCAAGAAGCTCAGAATGTTTTGAAGAAATTAGGAATGAATCATCAGGGTTCCATAGACGAGAAGTCAGATTTTTAAAAGTTAACATCTGAAAATTCTAGCTCGGCTGTTGGCTCGTTTCTTCTGCTACGAAGTTGAGTGGGAGGGGGGGTTGACTTTTGGATGGGTATTGGCCAGTTTCTGATCGGAAGTTGCCCAAAAACGACTGTATGCTCAGATTTTGGTCGGAAGTTGAAAGTTGAACTATTACTAGAACCATGTAGAAGCTTCCTACCAGAAGCTGCCGGCTACGCCAGAGAGGTTTGGAATGAGCAAAAAATATTCTAAAATAAGTAAACATGTTTAGTAGGCAAGATAAAATGCAGAACAAAATCAAAAATTTACGAGTTTCAGAATTACGGAACTAGGCTCGGCGAACTTTTTTTCCGATGGTTAATGGAAAAGATGTTTCTTCAAGTACACTTTTCTGTTATCGAAAGTTAAAGTTTAAACTGAAATTGTGAACAGCGTCAAAGTTTTAGGAATTTTTTTTAGAAAATAAAGAACAAAGTATACCGTAGCTTTTCTATTTTTTCGAGAATATCGTAATTGTTCTAATAGAAGCCCACCAGAAACTCCAACTTTGAGCTAGGAAATCTAGATTTCTGGGAAAGATATCACAAATGTGTAAACTATTAAAATATTGGTGATTTTATGAAGAAGAATCGATCAGTTGATCCCTTTTCAATATTTTTTACAGGAAATGAGGTATGTAGGCACTAAATAGACAGTTATCATTAGAGTGTCTACGGTATTTTGCTAATTTCCGAATGAAACCATTCATACCAAAATTCCTACTTGCCCATTTTTATTCCGGTTCCCAAAATCGTTATTTTTTGTCCTCAAATTTTACCAAATCCAAAAACTTCTCCTACAAAACTCCTGACCGATTCTTCATCCAACATCACTTTTTTCCCAAGTATCCCTTCGTCAAAAAGAAAAAAACCATCATCCATCAACCGTGTGTTGCCGTTTCTTTTTTCCTTTCCGGAATCCGACTTTTCTTGAAAGGAAACTTCTAAAAAAAAGTGGGTGCTCTCGGTTTCCCAAGAGGATTTCAACTCGGGACCCATTTTAGGATGTTTTGTGTAGCACTCATAAAATGAGTACATTTGCATAATCTGTGTGAAGAACACAAGACACTCACTGGAATCAGCTCAACATTTGACGTCGTCATTTCATTGGCGTCGGAGACAACATTTCTACTGTTCGGAGAATCTGAAGAATTAGAAGACGTTCAGATGATATGGAAAGAAAATATCGTTGGAAAAAATAACGGATAGAAACTGGGAGACACGAAAAAAGAAGAAGAAGAAGTGTGAATAAAAGGCATCCGTGCAAAATGTGCTAATTCCATTATACGAGACGAGAAGAAGATTAAACAAACATGGAAAAACGAGACGCACACACCGATCATCGTCACATTGTTGTGTGAAGATTATAGCTGTTTGGAAGAGGATGAAAAACTATATAACACCTTCCCGAAAATGGGATACACATTATATTCTCAAGTTTGAAGATATCACACATAAAGCTGGATGACGGTAAAACCTCTAATAGAAGGGCCCCTAGCTTTAACATTGAGCCAATTTATCTCGGTTCCTGTCAAAGCTATGAAAAAATGTCAACTGATAAATTGCTTAATATAATAACGCAAATGTTTTGTCAGTTGACAGATTGTTGTTATAGCAATCAAGATAATTAAGGTCAAACTTGACAGTGTGTGGGCCCTTCTTTTACAGGTTTTACAAAAACTAAAGAGTGGGTGTGACTTTTCTCTTGTCGAGTTCCCTAATCTGCACCCTCTACGTTGATTTTTTTTAACGTGTTTTTGACATATACCGTAAAACCTCTAATAGAACGACAC